TTCATTTTTAAATCCATTCATCTGTTGTTGGGTATATATGCTGCTTTCAAGATTTAGCTCTTATGAGTTGTGCTGTTATAAACAGGGTGTGCATGTATGGTTATAATATGGTGGGGTTTTCTTTACCTCTTTTAGAAAGATATGCAGATGATATAGAGTTGGGTCAAATAGGATTTCTAGTTTCAGTTTTTCAGGAAGATTTCCATAGTGGTTGTGCTGTTACATTCCAAACAATAACGTAGAGGATTCCTTTTCTCCTAAAACATCACCTGCATTTGTTGTTTTTAAAGTTCATGATGATAATCTTTCTTTCCCGAGTAAAATGCAATATCAGGATTGTTTTGATTTTCATTCCTCCTAATGGCCAAAGAAACAAAATACTTTTTCCTATACCCTTGGGCCATTTGTATTTCTAATTTCAATTATTTCTTTCTTCTGGTTTTTATCTTTCTTTCTTTCTTTCTTTCTTTCTTTTTTTTTTTTTTTTTTTTTTTGTCTTTGTCGTTTTTATTGATACCAGGGATCGAACTCACAACTGCCTGCTTGCAAGGCAGGTGCTTATGCCGCTGAGCTAAATCCCCAGCCCCTCTTTTGGTTTTTCTGTCTCCTAGTACCAGATTCTTTTTTGTTTATGGTGTGTCACATTGTATTTTTTAAAATGCTATAGAAATAATTTTCAACTTGGGATAGCATCTTCTTTCAGAGATAATTTATATTTTATTTTGCTGGTCATCTATGATACACACTCTGTGATCATCTTAAAATCTCATTTCAGTCACACAGCAGGTAAGAATCTGATAACTGCACAGGATGCAAAGGTGATTTTTTTTCAATGATAGTAAGGACTGCGGAGCACCTCCTATGGTAAGACAGGAGATGAACGATTTGATTTCAGTGATATCTGTGAAGTTATTCATTAAATATTTATCACTTGCCAGGAAGCGTTTTGGTTGCTTTCTAAATACCATTAAGGCAATATCTGAGGTAGACATTATTGTTACCCTTGTGGTACAGATGTGACATCGAAGTAGAAAAGAGTTGACTAACTTGGCCAAAGGTACACACTTTATCAGAAAGAATGTAGGCTTTAACCTGGGCTGGTTTTATTATCTTCTGATTTTAACCAACATGTTAAAGCAAAAACATTCTTCAGGGAGACTAGTATTTTTCGTTGTTTTTGCCAATTCATCTGCTCTCTGAACTATATTCCTGCTTTTCTAGATATGTAAAGTAAGAAATCAAAGGACAAATGCTATTACGAAAGAATCAGCAAGTTTTGTGAATGGCTACCAGGCTAATTTAAAGAAAAAAAATTGATTTGGTAAAATACGATGCTGTTACAGTGAATTTAGATTTTTGGGTGCTGTGTTATTCTAAGAAGTGGTAAATTTTGAAATTACGTGGGAGAGGCAGTTAGAAGTACCAGTTTTATTTTGTCTAATGATTATAAATTTGAAAAGGTATAATATATATGTCAGTTTGGTCATGGCACTTGGATGCTTATATGAAGTAATAATAATGCTTATTATGTAGGGAGAAAGAGCCTAATTTGTGTTAAATTAGTGCTGCACTTCAGAACTGAGAGATGAGGGAGTGGTGGGTTAACTATGGGATCTCTTAAAAACTCCTTTGTACTGAGAAGAGCAAGTGTGGTGGAATTATATCGTAGAACCCAGAATTTCTGCTTGATTCATGTGTGAGATTTGTTTATTGTGTCTCTTTCCACAGTGACTTCTGAGGCTGCTTCAGCATTAACAGTTGGCTTGGTACTCAAAGAGTGTTTGATTAGCTAAGTTAGGAAGCAAAATGGCACACACAAGAGGAAATTTACCCTGGAATAAATGTAGATCATTTAGTCAAATTGCTATATTCTCAGCATGCTCAACTTTCCTTTGGAGACTATGCCGTAGGAACCTTTCTTAGAAGCACAAATAAGCAGAATTTATTCTCTAGGGAATCAGAAAATTGTGGCCTAACATGTGATCCAGGATCATCTTACATGACCTTGGAGAGAAAGTTGCTGTTAAAAAAAAGAAAATGACTAGAATCAGGAATGAAGATGATTCTATGAGGGTATTTATGAGTCAGAACTCTTCGCTGAAAGTGGCAGAAATCAGATTCAAAGCAGCTTAATCACAGCCATGGGGGGCGGTGGGAGGAGAAAAAAATTACTGTCATTGGCCTATGTTGCACATCAGTATAAATTCACACTTGCTGTAGTTGGAAAGTGGTCCAAAATGTTTCTTGCAGATCTAAACATACTTTGAAGGCTCTGAACTTAAAAAAAGGGAGAGAAAAAAAAGGAATATATTGGCTCAAGATGCTGGGAACAAGCATGGTGCTATTTCACACATCATTGGATCCAGAGGCCAAAGGAGACAATGTTTGCTCCTGTACCATCAATTTTCTATTGACCTCTGCTCCTGTCTTTGTAGGTGCTATAACTCCTGCCATACCTGTGTTCTCTTGTGTTGCTAGAGAAGTGGTATGGGCATATTTTTCTTTCTAGATTAGTCATACCTGGGCCAGGTGTTTATTAGCTATCAACTGTTGCATAACACATTGAAACTCAGTGTAAAAGATGTAATGTTTGTTGCCTCCCACAGTCCCTGAAGGACAGAATCTAGAAACAGCTCAGTTCCATGATTTTCATATGGAATCTGTTATGAAGTTTCAGTTAAGGTATTTGCTAAGGCTATAGTTATATCAATGGGCTGCTGAAACTGCCTCCAGATTTACACATGTGACTACTGGTTGGAGCTTTAATTCTGGGCCATGTAGGCCATATACCAGGCTATTCACACAGCATAGCAGCAGCCTTATCCAAAAATAAGTAACCACACAGTGACAGAAGCCAAAATGGAAGCCATGTTATCTCTTACATACTCATTTCATAATTGACATATAATTTCTGCTGCACTCCGTATTGGTCACACAGTCCGACCCTGCTACAATGTGGGAGATGACTAAATAATGGTTCAACTATCAACAGGTGGGAGTGATCTTTGAGAGATCTCCAAGAGATAGGCTCCCGTTGGCACTAGCTAGGTAGTGTGCACAATGAATGAATCAACTTAGCCAGCCAGCCTGGAATTAAGTTTAACTGCATTATGAGTATAGACCATTGCTGAATGCTGTCATATGAAAGGCAATGTTGGGTCCTTTCTTTCTCTTATACTATGGTCTTTTTGTGGTCCACAAAGACTGCAAAATCTAGAGATATTTGTCTGGTTATATAGGTGGAAACGTGCAATGAAATTGGATCCTATATTGGCAGAATTAGGAGGTGTCACATGCAGGTGATTGTGGATCTCCCTGGATATAATCAAAGACCCAGTGTAGCAGTCAGGATTCAGGAAATGGTCAAATAACCACAGATTTTCGGCTTAAATTAAATGGAGATTCTTGGGGAATTAAAGTTATGAATCAACCTTTAAGATATGTATCCTATGTTTACTTTTTCATAAAGAATTTTTATTATGCAATTATCATCAATATTATACAATGGCTAAAGCAAGAAACTACATGAGGTATTGTTATGGTGTAGATATAAAATTTCCACCCAAAATCTCATGTATTTGGAAGGTGATTTAATCACGTTCATCAGTAGATTCATCCATTGATGGGTTTAGTATTGGAATGTGGATTAGGAAGTAGGATCCCGTGGGAGGAGAACTTCTAAGAGTGGGACTTTGAAGGCTCCTCGCTCATCAGCACCTGGAGTAGTTTCATTGCCTTAACTGTATTGGATGAATGTGGTTCAACAGCCTTTGGAATTGGCTTGATAGAGGAATTTGGAAAAGTTTGCAGATGCAGGCTAGGCAACCCCTAGATGTTGTGAGCAGTGCTTGATGTATGATACTGGTCAGAGCTCAGAAAACCAGAATGCTTTCAAAACAGGGCCAGTAATTTCAAAGCAGCTCAATGTTCAAGCTGTGGAATGTGTACTTCTGGCTGCTACCAGTGAGATTTACAGTGAGAATCAGGAGAAAAAAGGGCCAAATGATGTGAATCTTGATCAGAAAAGAAGCAGTTATAAAATTTGGTCAAAAAGGAATGAGTTACTGAAAAGATCTGCATAAAAATAAAGCCAAGTAGTTTTGTATAAGATCAACAGGAAATGTAGCTTGAGGGCATCTCAATAACTGGGCAGGCCACACTTTTAACAAACTCAAAGATGTACACTGTAAACCCTTCATTTGAGACAAGAGCTGCTGGACTCTTTTGAGAAAGGCTGCCTGGGGAATTGGTTCAACAGGATTAATTTTTGTGCTCAGCCATTTACACACTCAAAAGTCACTACAGTCGTGGTCCAAGGAAGCCAACTCACTGCTTGTTCTGGTGGCAGGCTTTGGTATCATCTGTGTGGCATTGGTTTTATAGGTATGCAGAATGCAAGAGTTATGAGGTCATGGAGGCTTCTACCCAGCTTTCTAAAGAGGGTCCAAGAGGCCAGGCAATGTGCCTTGGGAGGGCAGTGCACGGAGCTGTGAAAGTAAAGCCAATAATACAGTGAAGACCCCAGGGAGTTGGGGATGCCAGAAATGTGGAATGTCTGCTGAATAAAACCAAAGCAGCAAGTAGAGCCATCCCAAGAGAGTGTCCATATGGGCTGCACCAGCAAGGCCATGGCGTGAGGGGTGTTCAAGCCATTTGGAGCTCACCTTTTACCACGACCTGCTCCAGGTGGTGGACATGGATTTTCATCTTTTTAAATGTTTACCCTGGTAGGTCTCATTCTTGCTTTGGTGCCATTCATTTTTATCTCATTTTTCCCTTTTGGAATTAAAATGTTTATCCAGTGCCAATGAACATTGGAAGTATTTAACTTTTATGTATGTTTCTATGGGGACTCACAACAAAAAGTTTGTATTGAATCTCAAAAGGGACTTTGTTTTGGACTTTTGAGCAGTGCTGGATCTGTTACAACTTTGTCAACTCTTAGAGATGGCATATTTGTTATGGTTCTCTAGAGAAATAGAATCAATATAAAATATATGTATAATTAAACACAGATTTATTAAATAGGCTTACAGGATTATAAGTAGAATAGCCATAGTGCTGTCTGTGGAATCAGATGCAGAATAATCCAAAATGGCCATCTGCGTGCTGGAGAGACAGAGAATCCAGTTTCAGTGGGAAGTTGAAGGCCCGGAAGCTCATTGCAGAGTCACTGGTGTGAGTCTGTGTCAAAAGATTGGAAAGTACATGTTGAAAGAGATTGGAAATCAGTGTCCAAAGGTAAGGATGAAGACTGATGTTCCTCCAAATAGGTCATTCTTCTTTCTTTCCTTTTTTATTCTGCCCAAGATACGAGATTATTTGTTGGCACCATCCACTTCTACAGTGGGTGTCCTCTCACCCTTCAGTGTGTTGATCTGTGTGGCAATCATTCACAGACGCACCGAAACTTTAATAATATGGTAGGTGGCTCTTACTTGAGGAAACCTGACATATCATAATTAAAGATCACAGATGAACTAAATACACTTTGTATAATGAGATAGGCATGAGCCATTTGGGAGCAAGGAGGACAATGCTATGATTTCAATCTCAAATGCCTCCAAATATCTCATATATTTGGAAGATAATTGAAACATGGGGGTGCTCATCAGTGGATTCATCCATTGATGAATTTAGTACTGAAACATATGTTAGGAGGTGGAGTGTGGTGGGGGCAGGGTTACTAAGGTATGATCTAGGAAGGTATATTATTATACCTGAGGCTTCCCATAATTATCTCTCTGATTCCTGGCCACTATGGCCTGAGCAGCTTTCTTCTTTACTGCCCTTTCACCATGCTATTTCTCCCTGAGAGGCAGCCAAGGATGGACTGAACCCAAGGAAACTGTGAGCCAAAATGAATCTCTCTGTCTTACGTTGCTAGCGTCAGGTGTTTGTCCCAATGACAAGAATGATAATATAGAAAAGAGTATGTCCATCATTCAGTCCTTGGAAAACATCTTAGATTATAACATTGTTCTAAATCAATTATTTTTAAAGTATGTTAAAAAATAGCTGTTCCTGGCCTTTCCTACTGTAATAGCTTTTCTAAAAGGGTAATTTGGGGATTATAAAAGTTGCCAAACATAATCATTCTTTTTATATACTCAGAGAAATACGTTAATTGTAATCCCATGGGATTAGTGGAAGTTAGCTGATGTACAGGTAGGCTATCCAGAAAAATTATTACCCACTTTAAGTATATAAGAGAGGGATTTTAATTCAGGTAACTACGTTAATAGAAGGGCTGTGAAATTGAATAGAAGATGCTGAGGAACCAGGCAACACAGTAGAGTCACTTCCAAGCTGAGAGAAAGTAATGGTATGGGACCCTACAGGCAAAGTCACTTCATGCAGCAGGAGACTTGTTAAGTCTCTGTATCAGGAGTTTGAGTCATAGAAAAGGAGTTGGTGCCAGATATGCTGCCCAGCTTATCATTACTTAATCAGGTGGTAATTCTCACTGCAATTACTGTTCCATATGTTATCTCCTCATTGGAGCAAATTAATACAGTGGCTAAGACAGATCCAAATACTGAATGATGCCTGTGGCAAACTCTAATAGAATTGCAATAAAAGCTCTTAGATCTTGGAGAAAAACTTTGTTCCTTTTAGCAAGTGTCTGTTTTTTTTAGAAAATATATCTAAGTGAATCAGAGAGCATGCAGTTCATGAAAATGTTCGTGTTTTAAATTTTGTGATCAGAGGCCCAGGATACACAATGAAGTAGGAACAAGGTTGATCCTGCTTGGAAGCATTCCATAAAGCCCCAGAGAAGCAGTTGGTAGCGTGAGCAGACTGTTTACATGTCACTCAGCCCGCTACAATACTGTTCCATTCTCATCTGTTTCTATGGCCTTCTGGAGCGTTTCTGAAGAAACTTTCATACAAGGAGGGTTTCACAGGATAATAACTGCCACCAGCTGTTAGCAGACTTTGACTTTAGGGTTCCTCTGGCATGGCTCTGAAGGACAACAGAGAAGGGAAGACATCAGTTGAACAGGATGTTGAGCAATACATCACATTATCACTTTGCTTGGATAAAAGTGAGGTCTAAAGATATGTTCAGTACACATTAAACAAGGATATAGAAGAAGGTCAAAACAAAAAAAATCAAGTTAATTTAAGTGCAAGATTAATTTAAGTACACTTCATTATACAATCTTTCATGTAAATGAAGTAGTTAGGCTTATAAAATGATAGAGTGGTCTTTAAAAGACTCAGCCCTGCAATATCATAGGATGTCTTCTTTAACCTGATACATATTTGCACCTAATACAAATATTTGCAAAATATTCAATAAGTTCTAAACCAGGGTTCAAAATAAGGTACTTTACTCCCATAGTTTAAAGACACAGAATTAGGCACCACGCAAGACTGAAGATAGAGAAACTGGGGATTTAGCTCAGTGGCATAAGCACCTGCCTGGCAAGCATTAGGTCATGAGTTCAATCCTGCTAGGACAAACCAACAGCCAGCATCATATTAAATGACCAAAAACTGAAAGCCTTTACCTTAAAATCAGGCACAAGACAAGGATGTTCCCTTATCACTGCTGCTATTCAATATAGTACTGGAAATATTAGCCAGAGCAGTTAGACAAGAAAGAGAAATAAAAAGAGTAAAGATAGGAAAAGAAGACGTTAAATTATCATTATTTTCAGACAACATAATACTCTACAAAGAAGAACCCCAAAACTCCACTGAAAGACTCTTAGATATAATAAATAAATTCAGCAATGTAGCTGGATACAATGTCAATACTCAAAAATCAATAGCATTCCTGTACACTAACAACAAAATCACTGAGAGAAATAAGAAACCCTTCATCCAAAAAATGAAATACTTAGGAATTAATCTCATGAAAGGAGTAAAATATCTATACAGGGAAAATTATAATGCCCTAAAAAAGAAATCAAAGATCTCAGAAAATGAGACACTCCTTGTTCATGGATAGGAAGAATAAATATTGTGAAAATGGCCATTATCCCAAAAGTGTTACACAGATTTAATGCAATCCCAATGAAAATACCACTAACACCTCATAGATCTGAGAAATCATTCCTAAAATTCATCTGGAAGCAAAAGAGACCGAGAATAGCAAAGGCAATTCTAAGCAGCAAAGGCAAGGCAGGAGGCATCACAGTCCCTGACTTGAAGTTATACTACAAAGCAACTGTAATAAAATCAACATGGTACTGGAATAAAAACAGAGCTGAAGATCAATGGACTAGATTAGAAGATACAACCACAACTACAAACACACTCAACCACCTTATCTTTGATAAAGGAGTCAACTATGTTCACTGGAAGAATGATAGTGTCTTTAATAAATGATGTTGGATAAACTGGCTCTCCATAAGCTAAAAACTAAAACTAGACCCATGCCTATCACCATGTACTAAACTAAAATCTTAATGGATCAAATATCTCAATATTAAAACAGAAACACTAAGTTTGTTGGAAGACAAATTAGGTAAAAACCTTGAAGACATAGGGGTAGGTAGAGAATTCATGAACAGGAATCAAACTGCACAGGAAATACTTCCCAGAATCAATAACTGGGACCACTTATTTAAAAGTTTCTGCATGTTGAAAGAAATCTCCAGCATAATGAAAAGAAAACCCACAAACTGGGAAAAATCTTAATGAACTGCCCCTCAGACAAAGGACTTCTGTCTAAAACATATAAAGACTTAAAAAAAATCATACCACCAAAATCCAAAGGTTCAATCCAAAAATGGGCATCCCAGATGAATGCACAGTTCTCAGATGAAGGAATACAAATGGAAAATAAATATATGAAAAATTGTTCATCATTAGTCGTTAGAGAAATGGAAATTAAAACAACTCTGAGATTCCATCTCACTCCAGAAAGAATGGCCAGGATCAAGAAAACTACCAACAACAAATGATGGAGAGGCTGTGGAAAAAAGGAACTCTCTTGCACTGTTGGTAGGAGTGTAGACTGGTACAACCACTGTGGAGTTCAGTCAGGATATTTATCAAAAACCTGGGATTGGAAGTCCCATTTGACCCAGCTATTCCCCTTCTAAGCATATTCCCAGAAGAACTGAAAACATCATACTACAGTGATGTATGTGCACCATGTTTATAGAAGCACAATTTATAACAGCCAGATCTTGGAAACAACCTAAGTTGTTTCCTCAGATCAACTGAGGAATGGATAAAAAAGTTGTGGTATTTTTATACAATGGAGTACTACTCAGCTATAAAGAATGATCACATTGAGATATTTATAAATAAATGGATGCAACTTGAGATAATACTCATAAGCAAATCAATCAAACTCACATGTATAGATACTGTATAGTCCCCCTAGGGTAAAAAATGGTAAGAGTAAATAAGATTTTATGGGAATCATGATTCCCCATTACATTGCTTTGAAGCCTTATAATGTTTTCATTCATTAGTTGGAATGGTTTTTGTTTGATTTTATTATGTGTGATGGTATGAACAGCTATTTTGAAGAAAACAAGACATTGTGGCAGCCATTGCTGATTTAATATCATCTTGCTTTGAAGTCCTACCATGCTTTTGTTCTGTTTCCATTGGTTCTATCATGTTATGTCTTAATTGGATTTTAATATGTGTGATAGTATAAACAAATTTTTATGGAAAATGCGATAATATAGTAGCCATTGTTTATTTTCTGTTATTTGGTTCTGAATGCCCTGTAATGCTTTCATTCTCTTGAATGGTTTTATACTATTTTGTTATGTTTGATACTATTGTATGTGAAGGTATTCTCAACTATTTCAAAGAAAGAGACAGTATGGTAGCTACTGCTAATATCCGGGTGTCTTGTGGTGAAGTGCTGTGTTGCTTACATGGTTCTGTTCTGATCTGCTTTGTTCTGTCCTCTTTTGTCTTAATCTCTTTAAAATAAAATTTTTTTAAAAATTTAAAACTTGAAGACAGACTGATGTGTTTAACAATTACAACTAATTAATCAACTCTAAAAACCACATTTATTGTGTCCTTTAGTGTTACTCATAAGTATATAAGGAAGGAATGCTTTTATCATGAAATACAGTGTAGCTCTTCTGAATTGGAAGGAAAACTGGTTATTTCAGCCATCTAGATTTGGGGCCAAAGGACAGAAAGTGGGATATTGTGTTTCCTGGGGTTGCTGATTCATAGTGGATTCACTTACCTTTTTTAATGCATTAGTAGGAATGTTCAATAGAAGACTTACTGTCCTTCTATGGAAAAGGCCATTAAGAACTGAAACACCTCAAGAATCAGCAAAGTTTAGGTTCCTTCCATGAGGAAATAGCTTAAGGGCTGGTAAAAGAGAAGGGGGCTTCATAATACAAGAGGGAAAAAAACAAATACCAGTTTCAACTTACGTATAAGCAGATAAAAAGATCTGCTCCTTGACGCTGTACCATAACTTAGATGCTGTACCATAACTATGTACAATATTACATATTGTACATAGCGTATGTTGTTGGTAGCCAGTCTGCCTTTTGGACCACAGGATAAGCACATTTGGAGAAGGAATGGGTACCATCTAGAGCAATACTCCTCAAGGTAGGGGAATGTTTCTGTAGGGTGGTGGTAGTGCATGAACTATTTATGACTGGTTTATGATGAGAGATGCATGGAAATAAAGAGTATTTAAAATCGTTCTGTCAAATGAGTATTAAAATTCCTAAGCTTGTACACAATAATAAAAACTTGAGGCCTACATTTTTATGTTCTTTTTAATTTCATTTTTAGCAGTTCATTTTATTGCATTTCCCAATGACTCTATCCATGACATATTAGAAACAAAATTTTACTGCTCTTTTACTACAGAGTTTGAAAAGCAATGATCTTGGTGAGCAACAGCCTTGTGAAATATATTCTCAATCATGATACAGCAGTTGTGTGCAACTTTGCTCACTTGTCGTTGTGAAGGAAGTAAGAAAATTTGCTATTTTTTGTAGACTATTTGGGTGGTGGTGGGGATAATCTTTGGTGTGTATGTTGGTAGCCAAAAGTGAGTGCATAAAAGTAAACACAAGTGTTTTATATGTGACCATGCAGCCTGTATCATTACTGCCTGCTCCCCCCTCACCCCAATGGGGTAATATAATGCAGGAGGAAAAGGCCATCACTAGATGTCTTAGACATGAATGCCTGTTTTTGTGACTTTCTTGTTTCTGAGACACAATACCCAACACCCACAACTGTAAGGAGAGAAAAACTTTATTTTGGCCCAAAGTTTATAGAGGTTTCGGTTCACAGTCTCAGCTGGCTCCAAGGCAGGGCAGCGTAGCAGCAAAGCATGGCGGACAAGAAAGATCTCACATGTGGTGGGAAGCAGAGAGAGAGATCAAGGAAGAGGAAGAGAGAGCAACTATGTCAGGTCATGCCCCTAGTGACCCACTTCTTCCAAACAGGCCTCAGCTTTCAACATCACATTCAGCTATACATTAATTCATCAGTGAACTTTATCATACATCCATGGTCCACTCACCTCTTAAGAAGCTCCACTCTGAGTGATCCACCAAGTTGAGACTAAGAAATCCTAAGAAGTCTACCTTAAAAAATCAGAAGCTCCACTATAAGTGATCCACCCTAAGAAATCTGGAAAGTAGAACAGAGAAAACCTACATAGGTGAAAGTTCCAGTGTTCCTGTTACTGACTTTCCTAAAATTGTCTGGACACTTGCTCTTTTTTTTTTTTTTTGGTTATTTTTCCATTAGTTTTGCACTTTCTCAGCATGCTTCTACTAAACACCTTTCTCAAGTCCTAAACCTATTTATTGCTTGTCACTAAAATCACAAAGGATCTTGTAATTTTAAAAGCATTTGATAAACACTATCTGGTTACTTTCCAGAAAATGTATGCCATAACCAATGATATGTGTGTCTATTTCCAAGAACCTTTGCCAGAACTGAATATTGAATGTATATACATGTATAATTTTAAGCATGTAAAGATAGAGACAGAAGGCACAGACAGGTTGAATATACCTAATCTTCAAATTTGAAATTCTCCAAAATCTAAATTTTTTGAGTACTAACATGATGTTTGAAGTGAAAACGCCACATCATGAAATGTATGCATAAAATTATTAAATATATTGTATAAAATTACTTTTGGCATATGTGTATAAGGTGTTTATGAAACATAAATGAGTATTTAGATATGGGTCTCTTTCCCAAAATACTTCATTATGTATGTGTTAATATTCCAAAAATCTGGAAAAAATTTCTGAATCCAAAATACTTCAGATGGAAACATTTTTAAAAAGAGATACTTAAGCAATAGATATCTATATATATCTTTGATATTGTTTCAGGGAGGAAATAGGGCTATATTTAAATCATCTTCATATTTTTGCATATCATTAGAGGTGAACTTTTGGGGAGATATAGCATGAATACATTTTTATGAGCAAATTATATAAGCCAAATTCAAAATGGACTACAAAAGGATTTTGTTAGCATATATAAAATGGAAAGATGCCATAGTCATTTATAGAATTGGATCAAATAATATAGAAACTAAGTCATGAAGACATGCTTATATTTTTTTTTTCTTTTTTATCAGTACTGGGGATCGAACTCATGACCACATACTTGCAAGGCAAGTGCTTACGCCGCTGAGCTAAATCCCCAGCTCCCAACATGCTTATATTAACCCTGGGGCACCCAGCTGCTTTCTAACAAGCAATCACCACGAGCCTTTTTGTTCCCTCCTCACCACTAAGTGTTTTATTTCTGTCAAGAAGTTGTCATCGTGTAGTAGGGAATTACTGCTGCTACAGAATGAGACCATGTTTGATGTTCAGTAATGATCTGGCCTTTCTTAGATCACCTGCGTCCTCCCAGCCATAACCCTTTGGATGAGTTGCTATGAATACCCATGCTTGGATTTCCAACTTATTCTAGTTGGAAATGTAGGGCAGCACATTGTGCTCAACAGTCATTAACAATACCCTCTTTTCATGCCCTAGAATAAAATGAAATGGGGAAGGAAGATTGATGTGAATGGAAAGTTGCTGGTCAGGCAGGAATGTCACTCATACACTTAGCAGGAGCTCTAGAGTTTTGAGCAGATGGGTTATATGTGGAAATCAATACCGTGTTCGAAGGGTTATCATACAATTAATATTTAAAGTGGGATCCTTTGGAAAATGAAAGGCTACTGATGGAAGGGGAAGGGACAGGAGAAATGAATGTATCTGCATCAATTCTCCAAAATGAATGTAAGTAGTATATGTCACAAATATTTAGTAATAAAGAAATTAAAAAATAATGAATTGAATATTTACTCTACCTTAGGAGAGCTGAGCATAGGTAGGAAGTGGAGTAGCTATTTCCATTGTTGAACTATCTTCTTTCTTCATGTAATGTAGATCTAATAGTTCCGACAGCTATAAAGCCCTACATGTTTTTACAGTCACCATCAACTACTTCCCAAGAGAAAATAACTTCTTGAAACCAAAGTTATGACTCACAAAAGGCTCAAGATTCACAAAAAGATTAAATCTACGGTGGAGGGAACCATCTGCTTCTTGATAGTTCTTAAGGAAAAAGCCTTGAGGTGAGGAAACACCATTTCACTTGTGAGTGACTCACGGATAGAGTGGTTAGCACAAGGCTTCAAAGTGTTAACTTCAAAGTTTTGATCTTGGTGCAATTTATAGTCTTGACTTTGCCATTTGCCAGTTGATACCTTGAGCAAATTACTAACCACTCAAAACCTGTGTATTTGCCTATAAACTGGAAATTATAATAATTCACATTATTCTGTTCAGAACCTCAGGATATTAACATATATTACTCTGTGCTCGGAGCTCTGAAAGATTAGTTGGTAACACCACCAAGACAGGTGATAAAATGGAGTGGGAAAGGCAAAGCTAAATTCTTTTTTAAAGCAGGTAGAACACCTCTCAGTAAACATTATTCACACTGGTTCTTCTGTTCATCTTTATGCACTTAATTGGTTCTTCCAATTTGTCAATTTCTCTCTAACACTGACCACAAGTGAAAAAAAGAAAAAAGAAAAAAGAAAGAAACTCACTTTGGGATCAGGAAAGAGCAACTGACTATCTCCTATGTGGTTTAATAATGTCTTTGGCTTTCTTAGTTGTATTACTGGACACCCTAAAAAATGCTTTTAAGATTAGCCAATCTTTTTTTGTTTTTGTTTTTTTGGTACCAGTCATCGAACTCATCACCTCAAGCTTGCTAGGCAGGCACTTGTGCCACTGAGCTAAATCCCCGGCCCAGATTAGCCAATTTTGTAAATCCTTATATAGTTGTATATCTTGCACTGTATCTGTTTTTTCTAGTAAGCACTGACTGATACAGCTTAGTAGGAAGAAAAGTTTGGTTTACAAAATTTAAATTTTTTCCTGTATGTGACCATTTACATCATTCTCATGCATAACCACTAAAACCTGCACAACACAAATACCTACCCACTGGTGATAAATGAACAAATTGCTGCAGATCATACTGTGGAACTATTTAATAATAAAGCATGGACTATTGATACACATAAAAATTTAGGTGGATCTCAAATGTGTCCTGCTAGTGAACACAAACAAGGCTCAAAATCTATAAGATTTTATTTTTTATATAAAAATAAATTTACAGGGATAAACTAGGGAAGAGGGAGGATTGACTATATATGACAACATTTCTGTGAGGAAATATTCTGTATCTCTTTAAATTCAAAATTTAATTGACACATAATTGTAATATTTCTGGTGTTCAATTTGATAATTTAATACTTATATACAATATATGATTAAATTAGGGTAAATGGTATTTCCATTTCCTTAAACATTTATCATTCTTTTTCTGTTGGAACTTTTGAAATCCTTTCTTCTTAGATTTTATGAAATAATATAATAGGTTATTGTAAACTATAGTTAGCTTATTGTGTTATAGACTACTAGAAGGTAATCCTTTTAAGTGTATTTTGGTAGTTGTTAACTGATTCTATTCTATCTCGCCTACTCACTGCCTTCCTACCTCTCATGATGAAGAATTTTCTCTCACCTTTATGAAATCAAACTTCTTATTTTCCACCTGTGTGTTGGAATATGTGGTATTTTTTGTCTGGCTTCTATTACTGAACATAATGTCATCATTCCAATTATGTTGCTGCAAATTACAAGATTTCATTATTTTTATGTCTGAATAATATTTTATTTTCTTTATTCACCTACTGATGAACATATTGATTGATTCTGTATATTATCTATAGTGAATAGCATTACAGTAAATATGGAAATGCAGGTATTTCTTGATGTACTGATTTCAAATTTTTGGATATACACCAAAGCAGTGGGGGACCAGGATCATATGATTATTCTATTTTAGTCATTTTAGTCATATGACAAGTCAACATAGTTTTTCATAACTAGAATAATTTATATTTCAACTAAGACTTCTCATTTACCACCCTTAGTGACTTGTAATTTTTTGGCTTTAATAACTATTCTATCTGGGGCAAGATGATATCTCATAGTAGTTTGATATCCTTGATGATAATCATGTTGAGTCATTTTTTTCACAGACTTATTCACTATTTATGTATCTTCCCTCAATATATGTCTATTCAGATAATTCTATTTTTATTAGAGTTTTATCTTTTGCTGTTAAATTCATTACATCTTCTAGATATTAATCTTTAGTTGGAAGAATAGTTTGCAAATATTTCCTTCTGTTCTTGAGTGTCTCATATCTCCGTTGATTGTTTTCTTTGCTCTGCAGAAATATCTTAGTTTGATACAGTATTTATACATTTTTATTTCATTGCCTGTGCTTTTAGAGAGTCAGCCAAAAATAAAATTTCCTAACTGATTTCATGTAGTATTCCCCATATGTTTTCTCCTTGTTGTTTCATAGTTTGAATTCTTACATCTAGGTCTTTGATTCACTGTGTATTGAGTTTTGTGTATAGTGAGAGAAAAGAATATAATTTCATTCTTCTGAATTTGAAAATCTAATTTGCTCAGCATCATTTATTAAAGAGGTTATATTTTCTCCAATGTATACTTTTGCCATTTTGTCAAATATCAGTTAGATATAGATGCATGGAATCATATAATACTTTTTATTACTGATACTGGGTTATCATAATGTTCTATTGATTTAAATGTCAGTTTTTAGGCAAGTGCATTTTTGTATGTCCTATATAGGTTTACAGTATGTTTTAAATTCAGGTATTGTGGTCTTAAGCTTTATTACTTTGTTCAAGATGGTTTTGGATATTTAGAATATTTTGTGATCCTCTATGAATTTTAAGATTGTCTATTTCTGTGAAGAATACCATTGCTCTTTGATGGGCATCTTTCTGAATTTGTAGAATGCTTGGGCAGTATAGACATTTTAACTATGTTAAGTCCTTCAGTTTATGAGTATGGAATGTCTTTCCATTTTTTGGTAACCTTTTCAATTTCTTTCTTCAGTATTTTGTAGTTTTTATTGTGAAAATTATTAGTTTCCTTGGTTAAATTTATTACTTGGTTTTCCAAAACGTAGCTATAGTGAATGAATTTGCTTACTTGATTCATTGAATGTTCATTATTAGTTTAAAAATCTACCACTTTTTGCTGTAGTTTAGGTCTTAAATGTCCCCTCAAAGATCTATATGTGAAAGGTTTTGTAAGATCAGTGTGCTATTGGGACACGGTAGAAGCTTTAAAAGTAGGATCTGGTGAGAAGTGTTTAGATCCTTGGAGGTATGCCCCCAGAGAAATGATCAGACTCCAGGCTCTTTTTTTGCTTCCTGGCTATGAGGTACCCAGTCTTGCTCTAACCCTAAGCTCACCCCATCATGTGCTGCCACAGGCCAAAGCAATGAGGCCAACTCGTAGACTAAAACCTCAAAGCTATCAGCCAAAAAATGTTTTGAAAATATTTTGTCTATTTTAGGTACTTTTGAAAGCTAAATAACACATTTTTATATGTTAAATTGATGCTCTGCAACTTTCCTGAATTTATTTGTGAGTTTTAAATCCATTTATTTGTGGATTTTTTTTTTGGTTTTTCTCTAAATCATGTAATCTGCTAACAAGGATGACTCAAGGTCCTCCTCTGCCTAATTGTTCTCGTTAAGATTTCCAGTGGTGCGTTAAATAAAAATGGTGATAATGGACATCTTTGACTTTGTCCAGATAACAGAGTAAATGTTTTCAGCCTTTGCCCATTCTACGTGTTGTTGGCTTTGGGTTTGTCATATACATCCTTTATTTTATTGAAGTCTGTTCCTTCTATACCTAATTTGTTGAGGGCTTTTATCATGACAAACTTTTGAATTTTACTGAATGCTTTTTCCATATCTACAGATGATCATGTTGTTGTTGTCCTTTATTTTGTTAATGCAACATATGATATTTATTGATTTGGATGAACTGAACCATCCTTAAATTCCAAGGGATAAATCTTACTTGATCATGGTATATGATCTTTTTTTGTGCTATTAGATTCATATTGCTAGTATCGTATTGAACATTTTTGCATTTATGTGTTTGAGGGATATTGGTCTATAGTTTTCTTTATTTTTAATTGTGTCCTTGCTGGTTTTGATATCAAGGTAATGCTAGCTTCACTGATTGACTCAGAGGGAATTCTCTTCCTTTCCATTTTACTGGGAATAGAAGAATTATTCTTTGCTTTTGTTAAAAATTTAGTAATATTCAGCAGTAAAGTCATTTGGCCCTGGGTTTTCTTTATTAGGGATAGTTTTTATTACTGATTCAGTGTTCTTACTTGTTATTGGTCTGTCTATAGTTTTTATGTCTTCATGGTTCAACTTTGGTTGTTACATGTCTAGAAAGTTATTTCATCTAGGTTTTCAATGTTGTGTATTTGTTCATAATACTCTTCAACTGTCCTTTGAATTTCTGTGGTATCATTTGTAATGTCTCTTTCCAGGACATCCTGGAACCTTTTACAAGTGAGTTCAAGGCTAGCGTGAACTACATAGTGAATCTTTGTATCAAAAAGATCAGAAATCTAAACAAGCTGAGCCTCTCAGGATGTGTCACTGAGTTAATTTTCAGGGACTTGTGAAGCCGAAGAGCTCGAGGAGAGCCTCTTGAAGCCATGGCTGGTCAGAGTCACCTGGTAACTTTGAGGGGATATGAGTGGATATGGGATCACCCTGGTGTTTTGCAGGACCATGAGCAGGTGGAGTCACAAGAGGATACTGTGCGGTAATAGCTTCATTTGGAAAAGTCATATGGGCTGGCTATTTCTTTGGAGAAGTACAACAATGCAGATGCCTAGAAGGTCCTCAACCTGGGATCAGAATTTTCGAGGGCTACAGGCTTCTTTCGCAGCTTCAGGTGTCTGTGGCATTAGTGGGGACTGCTGGGAGTCTCCAACTTGTTTTACTATGCCCCATTGTGCAAAGTGCTTCTTATTTGATGATTGATCTGGCCTGGGGAAATAGGATGGTGGATACTGTATGCCTCATTTTCTTGATTGTACTTCTCTGTGTTCTATGGCATGTCTGCCATATGCCTTTTGCACTTGTGTGTTCTCTCCACAAGATACCAAACAGTCAATAGACAGAAAGAAGTGGCAATAGATGTGGGCTGAGATAAGACCCCAAAGGTGAAGCCAATTGGTAATTAATATCACCACTACAAGGAGCAAGAGGATCAAGGAATGTTATGCATATTTTTGTAGGCACAAGAATGTGCCCTATGAGTGGATGTTTGAAGAAAGATAGAGGCCCTGGGAAAAATAGGAGTGGACAGAATTGAGAGAGAGAGGGACTCTCAGAAGATGGGCTTGATAGAAAACCTAGGGAAATCATGCTTTTTAAAGAAGGCTAAAGCTAATCTTTTGATAGAAATGGAGGAGGGGCCAAGGCAAGGAAAAGTAAGATCATTCTTTGGCTGTGAATCATGCTGGGTCTGGATTTTGCTGCCTGAACATACAGAGGCATGGGCAAACCTTCCTCATTTATAAAAATTCTCTTAACCTATAATTACTCATCATTGATTGATTTCCTACTCTCTCCTTTTTGAGTGAATTTGAAAGCACCTTTACTAAGTCCAGAAAATTCTACAGAATTTCTAACTTAAGAAACAAATAAAGCTGCACAGAGCTTAACCTACCTGGTGTATAGAGCCAGCTTGATTTATATGAATGGACCAACAGACCCATATGGCCTAGCATATCAAACTCATCTCCTCTGCATATGAATGTCTATGCCCAGACTTCAAGCTTTTATATTGTCCTTGCTATACTTTTAATTTGATAAATTTGATAAATTTATAGTATTTAAGTATAGATAATTATGAGATATCAAATTCATTCTTTCTATAAATATTCAAGCCTTAACTATATGCTATGCAGTTACTTTACTGCTTTATAGGCTTACCTTAAAAACAGAGATTTTTGTATTTATACGGTTGTGTGTGTGTGTACTTAGTTTTGTCTTTTAAAAAAAAACAAAGAAATAAAGCTTTCTGGAGAATCAAATAGCTAGCCAGATGCTCTTATTGTTTTGTCATATAAATCACCTATATTTTCAAAATGATACTTTACTTTAAAGTCAATATTTTCCTTTTAAGGTTGGCACTAAAAGAAAACAGGCATTTTAAGGTTAGTGTAGTTTTATTGTTAGAAACCTCCTATAGAAAACATAAGGCATATTAAATTTTACTACAAAATGCTAATGACTCATAACTAATGTTTGTTGTAGCTTCAAAATTAAGGCTCTTTGCTACTGTTACCAAGCATCTGCACGTCTCTTCACTCTCTTAAAAGGCAGTGTGACTTCTTTCTGCATTTTGTTGTGGTGAGACATAAAGTTATTATTTTCAGTGATTTGTTTATATAAATGAAAATAGCTCAGTGCCTATATCAGTAGGTACTTATCAGCTATTATTTCCCACCAGTTATTTTCATTTTGTTTATGTTAGGCTGTTTGGAGGACCTATGAAATCCCCATTTAAAACTGTTTAAATGTATCAATTTAATCACAGGAATCCAGAACAAGTAGAAAGAAGGGACTCAGCGATGTCATTGTAGAATCAGACTCTTTCCATATTTCTGCTCTCTCATTCTTGTTGTGTGACTCTTTAATCCTCATCCTTGTTTTCTCACATCTATAATGTGGCCGTTGGAGCTCTTGGCATCAAATCACCACCCAGAAAGTAGAGATTTCCCATCAAGTACTCCTCGTGCATCTATCTTATTTATAAGGAAACAGGTTTCCATGGAGTCCTCCCAGTAGACCTCCAGTGTAAGAAGGTGGTCACACTTCCCTCTGTCTCTTAGAATAGGATCAGACGTAGAATGTATAAATGTTGTAACTTTGGTCCAACATTAAGAGTCACATAAACACGGTTACTCAGTGTACGTTCAACTTCCAAGAACCTTGAGATGATCTCAGTGGTTTCTGTCTCTGACCCCAGGCCCAATGCAACTGTAGCTTCACAATGGTCACTTCTTTAAACTTCTTTCCCAAATATAGGGGACTCCCTCACTCCAGTCCTGAACCAGTCCTAGTCCTTTCATTTACATTTTCTTTTTTTCCAGGAATCTCAGGACCTTGTGCTTGCCAAGCAGTGGCTTGTGCCACTGAGCTACATCCACGGCCTTCATTGAAATTTTATGAACACTTCTTCAATTCTCCATTTAGTAAGAGGTGGTCATACACTGTACAAGTCTGGGCTGAGAGGAACTCTGTCAAAAAGAAAGTGAGGAAATTGTTTTGCTGTTTGTCACATTGTTCTTTCATATTCTACCCATCTTACATGATTAAGTTTGCTTTTAAATAGTTTCCTGCTGCATTTTTAGCTGATCCCTGCAGGGTGACTTCTTGTATTCAACCACTATCATCTCACAGATACGATCTTTCTGAAATGTAATATAACTTCATGATTAGCATTCTACTTGTGTAATGCAGCTTACAAGAATGATGGTGATCTATCCTTACATATCTTTCAGCATTTTCTATTCCATGCGGCTTGCTAGGTTTAATCATCATATCGAATTTATGTTCTTGTGGCTGCTGCATCTCTGTTCTATTTTCTGTCTGAAATATCTACCCTCCTCCACTTTCCTCTTTCTGCCATATGGACCAGTTTCTCCTTGCCCTCCAAAACTGATGCTTTCAGAAACTTTACTACAGCTCAGCAACCTGTGGTGTTTTTTCTCTGCCCTTCAGTAGCACCTGAACGGACTATTATGATTTATTTGTTTATATAATCTACCTATTATCTGGTACTGGATTGAGCTTTTTGTGATTAAAGGCTGTTTGACTCATTCCTGTACAGTTTATTATCTATATGTGATACTCAGATTATATATTTTTAATGGCAGAAAAGATGTTAAGCTTCCTCCGTGCCAGTGTGGCATATAATTCAAAGAAAAACTCAGTCTTGTTTCCGAAGAGGTCAAGATAAATTTGAAGCGTTTAATTTTCTCTTGTTTCTCAGAACTTTAATATTTTCTCACTCTAACTTACGAAGGGTTTGTGAAGAGGACACAGAACTGGAGAATGAATCTTTATATGCAAAACATATTTGGCAACATTGACCCTGAGCTGAACAGAAACCTCAGTGGTGTGAAGCAAACATGATAACCTCTCTTCTTTGGCCAGCAATTTTTCTTTTCTTATATACCAGACATTTAGGTTCCTAACAGCTTTACATTCTAAGGACACAGAGCCACTAATTAAGGTATACACAGGCTTAATTATTTTGTAAAAAGTAGCACATTTTAAAGCATTTTTCATTAAAAACACACCAAATAAAGTGTGCAGCTGGAGTTGAGCTTTGTAAAGAGTTTGTTTTTACTTATTCTTCACTCTAAATCATTGATTCTGATATTCAGTTATAGGTCACCTTCTCCAACACCTTGAATTACAGATATAAGGAATTCTTTATTTCTGAATTTGAAAAGATGACACAAGGACTGAATTTAAATGATTAATCTCACCATTGAGGCCGAGGAATACTGGATAAATCACACACCATTCAATACACACATTTAAATGTAATAACCCTACCCAGCACATGATAGAATTATGATATCAAATTTAGAAGATAAACCTAAATCAACAAAGAAGATAGCTGCCTATCTCAGTGTAGTATTCTTTGACTTCTAGTTTCTTGTGATCCTTGGCTGTTTACAGAAATCTGGTTCTCATTATCATGGTGAAAGTTTATTACATTATTTCAAACTTTTCATGGCTTCCGCTGAAATCCTTACCTGTGACACAATCAGGACCAGCTGTTGATATGGTTTTAAAAAATTTTAAGTATCTAAATTATATTTTTAATTTTATAAACTTAAAACATAAACATTTATTTTCTAAGTCTCTGCGAAAGAAGAAGTCAAGCTCTTGGTCTGAGTATGGGGATATTCTTTGTTTTTTTGTATGTTATCTTTTCTTGGTGCTATCTAAATCCAAAATGTAGTATGCCGTATTTTTAGTTTTTGTTCCTTTAAAGTGCATGGAAAAATAGGCAATAAATTATTACAGAAGAATCTAATTCCTTCTGGACTTTGATAATTGTCTTTCAGTCTTTCACCATTAACTCTTTCATAACGAATCTAATAGCAGATCTGTTTCTTCTTTTCTTGTGGCTGACTTTCATTTAGCCATTCCAAAGCACTCAGCTTATTCCACTTGTCACAGGACATCAAATTTCTCTTGTCCTCCCATTTCATTAATTAACCTGCATTTTATTAAATTATTTAATGATGATAACTCACTGAACTGAGGAGAGTAGGAATGTATAGAAACAGCACAGTGGGTTCCTAAGGACATGTGGTGTGCCATGGGCATTACTAACATGTTTTGTAGAGGAACAGGTGCCTGTTTTCTAGAGTGGAAAATGGTTTTATATCTGTACATGCTTAACTTTTCCTAATGGAGCCTTGTTTAATTGTTCACTTCTTTTAAGTGCTTGACAAGGGGCCTACTATCTGTTTTGTTGACTGGCAATTTCTTTTTTCTGGTGATTTTTTTTTCATTTGCTTGTTCAACATTCTTTCTAAAAACAGAATAAAACCCAACCTGTCCAGATGTGTTCCTTTTTATGTAGAGCACTACTAAGAAGGGTTTCATGGTCTTCCTTTTTTGTAAAAAAGCCGCATTTAATGATTGGAGTCTGAGTTGGGAAATGGTCATTGGAGGCCTGAGTGTCCTAGACCTTGCAGTACAATGTGGTCTCCTATACAAGAGCTTAGTCTTGGGCTCTATTTCTAGGGGCCTGACCCTAGCTGATACGGGAATCTGTGGGTAAGTGAGGAGAGTGATCTCACTAACTGTGAGATATCTATAAGGAAACACAGGCACCAAGATAAGGCAGAGAAAGAACCTAAACAAGGATGTGGCTTGAATTCAGGAGAGGTTGTAGACCACAGACTGTTTCTCGCCTTAAAGCCACCACTGTGGCAGGAAGTCATGAAGGAGGATGACTCTTAAAACTGTAACTCCTGTCATTCAAGCACGTTGCTCTAGAGAAGACTTCAGGTATGTGAGCAGGTGGCGGAAGTTTAGTAATGAGAGGATGAAAACTTCAATGCCTAAAGCAATTGCAGGGCACCCAAGCAGGTGATGAACTGCTAATGAGGAAAAAAAATTACATAACTGACAATTTTTAAAAAGCTAGTTTTATTGAGAACAGTTTATGAACCACCTTACATTTTCTTGGGCATTAGTTATTTCCTGGGTCCTAACTGGCTGGAGACAGAGTGAGAGAGAGAGAGAGAGAAAGAGAGAGAGAGACAGAGAGAGAGAGAGAGGGAGAGAGAGAGAGAGAGAGACAGAGAGAGAGAGAGAGAGACAGAGAGAGAGAGAGAGAGAGAGAGAGAGAGAGAGAGAGACAGAGAGACAGAGAGACAGAGAGGCGGAGACAGAGAGAGAGGTGGAGACAGAGGCAGAGACAGAGAGAGAGGCAGAGACCAGGACCCAGTATCATTGCCACAGTTCTGAATATCATCAGTGACCCTAGATCCCCCTGGGGAGGCAAGTTTCAACATGTCCCCCATTGCAACTTCCCAAGGAAACTCACAGAGACTGGTAGCCCTTGCTTTTTATTTACAGACACAGTTAAAATGTCATACAGTGGAGAATTGGCATCTGGCTATCCCAAGGGACCAGGTGCACAGCAAGGAACAAAGTAGGAGTTACTTTGACCCTGGGAAAACTGACTGCTGGGAGGGAAGCTATAGGCAAACTCCTTCTGGTCTCTGTCCCTGAAGGTTTGTTTTGAGGTGCTGTGGTTCTTAGAGCTTGTGACTGAGCAAGTGGCTGTTGTATGTTCTTTGTTTGTGGCCAGCAAGGCACCCACAGTGTTGTATCTTCTTTTTATTCTTCCTTGTTTTATGCCTCCGTTTTTATTTTTTTACTGTTACAGACCTGCAGTTTTACCTCCTCAAAAATACATCCATGCATACACTTACCCTAGTTTCCAAAAACAAAACAAGACCAAACAAACAAACAAACAAAAAACCAAAACAACAAACCAGATACTCTTTGAACAGAGCCTAAGACAAAGGCAGTACCCTCTAGAATTAAATGTTCCTATCCAATATTTGAGACCCTCAGTGGTGGAGTTTCACCATAAAACATTAGAGAAGAGATATTTTGAGTAGACAAAAGTAGGTAATCCTAATATTGTGGTGCTATTCTTTTGCTGTCTAAACAAAGTCAATCCTATTAAAATCTAATGCTACAGTTTTCCTCCTGCTCCCCGTTCTTTCATAAATTGACTCAGTGCCATGAATACTGCGGAGGGGCAATGGATTTAAAAGCAATGCAAAGAAGAATGCAGGACTGTAGGATCTGCTTTTCCTCAAAGGACCTGAGAATGTTCATGATAAGAGCGAAACACTCTTTTCAAAAAAGAGCCTTGACTTATTCTGTAGCTTGGCCAGCTGGAGACCAGAAGTTATGAGGCCAGAGCTAGCCTGAGTGTTACTAATGTGTGCGCTTGGAAATCTGAACCAACTACAGGTGACGTATGTCATCACTCTCACAATTAGTACTGATGGCTCCTGTCAATTTGGCCTGTAGCTATTAAGTTGGGTGAAGGGACAACTGGTTCTTCTTATTTTATGCTTGTAGAAATGACTTCAATTTTCTTTTCTGTCTGATTAGTTTTAGCATCTGGATTTCTTCTTGCGCTCATTACAGGCGCTGGCTGTCTTTGCCTTTCTCCCTCACATCTGGAATCTAGCCAAAATGTACCAGAACAAGATGCTTCTAACATTTGAACCCTTTTGTAAGCATGCTGATTGCAACTTGGATAACTTCAATTTAATCCAAGGTGGAAGCTTTCTGCTGCTTTGGGGGGAAAATATAAGTGTCTAAAAATAAAACTGAGGCATAAAAATAGGGCCAAATACTCATTAACTGCCTCGCTTAGCTGAATGCTGAAATTATTTCAACAGTGTTAAATCAAGCCTTTGTGTAGAAGAGGTTGAGTATATATATTTTTATTCATAGTGCTTTATCTTAGATGACAAATAGGTTACTGTCATTTTAATAAAAATTCATAAATTATATAGTTTCAAGGACTCAATTTTCAGCTCAGACTGACCCTTGAATTGGAGCACATATATACGTGAATCTTTGAGAATGTGTGCTGTGAGATGCTGTCAGAGAGGTTGAAGAATACAATAGTTCTAGTTTGTGAAAAAATCACAAACTAGAACTATTGTAAACCTGATAGACTAGGGCTAAACAACTTATATACTGCTGAGTGTGGGGGGAAGCATTCCAGGGGTTTAATTAGGATAATAGAATGACATACGTTTTAAAAATGCAGCTCTCAACAGTGGTGTTGATGGTGGATTATAAGAGGAAGCAAGGGTAGAAATTGTTACCAGTCAGATGTCTATTTTCAAATCCTTTTGTAAGAGATGACAGTGGCCTTGGAGCAGCACGGTGATAGTGAGGTTGGAAAGAAGTGAATAAATAAAAATAAGTTGATAGATTAGATATGGGGCATGTAGGAATGGAAGAATCAAGATGAATTTTCTAACTTGAACTGGAAAATTTGGCTCCATTTAATTTGATAACTACGGCAAGGAGACTATGGAAATTCTGTTATCTTGCCGTGTTTTGTGTGGGGCCAGAGCAATGGAAAAGGGAATAAGGCAGAAATTAGGGCTCTCATTAATTTCATGATGTATGTAGGGCAACACAAGCCAAATGAGCAGTAGAATATATGAACTCAAAATATGACCTTAAGTATTTTAAGAATCCTTGACTTTTAAGAATTCTATGAAACTGATCTGGTAGAGAGAATGTGATGATAAAGTGAGAGGGTATAATTGCAGAGACATACTTCTTGAGTTCAAATATATGTGGGATAGATGATTTATGGAGGAGCTTATCCATAGGAAAAGCAGAAATAAGGTAGCAGGACTGGGAACATCCCATATTTGTGTATCAGGCAAGCAAGAGAGAGCCAAAACTGGAATAAAGAAGAACACAGTGAAAACCGAAAACCTGAGCAATGTGATGTTCTGAAAACCAAGAGCAGAATAATTTCACTAGAGCAAGTTAGCAGTCAAGTGTGATGAGCCCCGTGTGAGGTTAAGATGACAAATGAAGACTTTTTAGCAACATGGAGACTCTTGGTGACGACGACAAGGGCAGATTTTGACATATCACGCTAACAAGTTTAAAAGCCTTAAAGGCTTTGAGAAAAGATTGTAAAGAGGAAAATGGAAATAGCTAGTTTTAGAATAATGGGGCTGAAAAATAAGTAGAATATCAAGATTCAAGGAGAAATTGAGTGTTTGTTCTCATTTTTTTAAGATGTGCAATACTGGAGTATTTGTAGCTATGACTGATCCCATGATAAGGTGGGAGGGTACAATTGCAGAGCCATATTTCTTGAGTTAAAAAATGTGTGGGATACAGATCTCAGTGAAGGATTTGGCCTTGGATAAAGGCAGACAAGAGACAACGCTTGCATAGCACCGTTATTAGGTTGTTTGAACTGTGTTAGGAGAACAAAGCAGAGTTCATAACTAATCAAAACTAGTAAGGCAAGACTATCAGTGGAAAGGGAAATTGGAGAAGGGTGATGCTAGAACTTTCAAAGGAAGGCAGAAAATGTTGAAGTGCTTATAAAAGGGCCAGTGTAAACCTGTGTAAGACTGGACCTTACCAAGAGATGCTCCAAAGTTACCTTAAACAAGGTGGATTTCAGTTGTTTTACTTGGAAACAGATTGAGATTAAATTTTAGTGTTTAATATAGCCCATAAAAATCAAAAGTATTATTAAATATCTATGAATTTTCATAGTAGAAAAATGTGTTTACCAATTACTTATAATCTTCTCTTTTAGAAATAATCATCGTGACGCGTATCTTTTAATCCATTATACATGAAAGTACATTTATAGGAAAAGATATAAACATTATTTTGATAGCTAATATTATTTTATAATAATTTTCACTATCAAATATTTTACATATTGCTATAAAATGGATGGAAGTTAGGAGAGTGGTAACTTTTCTCCACTTGTATTTGATTTGTTTTGATGATTTCTAATATTTCTATAGGTATAGCCATGAGAAAATGTATAGTTCTGTTGAAAAGATTATCTCTTAAGGTTTATATTCAATTGTTTTCTTCTGGTATTTAAAATGCAAAAATAAAACTATAAATTATAACTTACCAGATTTTATTTCAATGAAGGAGTTGAATTTTATCTCTTAGGATATTTTAAGCATCCTACAACCTTACATCTCACATTGAATTTAGAACATATTTTTTTTAGTACAAGAACTGCCAAGCCATTTCTTGAAAATATTCTTTTAGGGATTTTTCAAATAAATTACATGGCATTCTTTTTAAAAGCTATTTCTTGAAGAGTAGCAATTAACCATAATCCCATCACCAAGAAAAAAACTACATTGTATTTTTTTCTGTTTTGCAATGTTCCTTTTTTATCTCCCTCTCTCTCCCTTCCTCTCTCTCCCTTTTTCTCTCTTCTCCCCCCCCTCTCTGCCCTCCCCCTTCCTCTTCCTCTCCCTCTGTGTCACTCTCTTATTTTCGAAAAGCTTTTTGTAAACCATGGCCTTAGTTTTTGTACCAGTTCTATGTATTTATGGTTATGTTTCAAGGTTTCAGGTTTTTAAAAAAAATATTTTAAGCGTGATTATAAACAACACCACAGCTAACATCACTAGCACTTGAATTAATTTTTGGTATATTTTACTATGAAAGCAACATGCATCCATTGTAGAGTACTTTATAAATAATAAAAAGTATGATCCAGAGAGCCACTGGTAAGGAAATACCAAATCCACTCTTTCAATAGTCATTTTTCTGCACCTATCATACGGGGAGGGACTGCTCCACATGTGAAACCTGCTCTTCCAAATTAACATCCTAGTACATATTTAGTGATAGATGCGGTTAGTGTCCTATATGAAAAAATGTGTTTCTTTGCAAAATGGACAGTGCTATTTAAAATTGTATTATAGTCAGATTTTTCTCCTATAATGTTAAGAACTTTCATACCCCTGAAGGTTTACAATATCATATTTAATGGCTACGGAATAGTTATTTGTGTGAATGAACAATAGTTTAATCTTATGGACTCAGACACTGTAATTCTTTTTCAGTTCCTTTTGCATTTAAAACCCATAATGTGCATTCTTTGCTTCACTTTGACAGTGTACTATGACCTTCACAAGACATGAAGGCACAAGCAACGCTGTTTTTCCTCTTCATTCTCATACGGTCTCTCTGTGGATATCAAGGTAAATTCTTTTACAGTGCAAGAGTTGTTATTTGTATCATTAGATAGGTACAAGCGTATGAAAAACAGAGTGGTTATAGGTAGCACATTCTTAATCTAAAATGCTCCAAAATCCAGAAATATTTGAGTGCTACCATGATGATGCTAGTGGAAAATTCCACACCTGATCTCATATGACAGATCAGTGAAAATGCAAGCGCACTGAAAATACTGTGTAAAGTTACTTCCAGACTATTTGTATAAGGTGCATATGAAACATAAATGATTTTATGCTTAGATTAGATTTGTGTCATGTCCTTGAGTATATATAAAATGCAAAACACTTCTAGTTCCCAGCATTTCAGGTAAGGAATATCCAGCTGTATTTCTCTGTAGCCAAAACATTGTGAACTTTCCTAGGTGATCAATTCATGAGAACTAGGGAACAGCCTAGAAGTCAGCACAAAGATCAGAAATGATATTTTCTTCTGTTCATTCTGATTAAGGGTTTTTATATTTTTTATTGGCTGTAAGAAATCAAACCACAAGAAAGGCAAGTTTAATTTTTTAAAGTGGAAACTTGGTACCTAGCACCTAATAGAAGATATTTTCAGCCCTGTGATAGGCATTTTTAATTTTCCAAATAAATACTGGAGGGATATGATAGAATTGGGGAGGTCAGTAATCAGTGTTTTCTTTCCCATCTCTCCATGTATTATTCTAATTATAATATGCATTCTTTCAAATCTTTTCAGAGAAAATCTCTCTGAGGAAGACAGAAGGGATATGGCAGGCTTGAAAAGGCCCAGAGAAGTGGGCAGAGTTAAAAGTCTGTGGCAGAGCCACACAAATACCTGATTCTTCTACCTTGGATATCATTGGCCCAAATCCAAAGGAGTTTACTCTTTTTTTAAAAAAATAAAACAAGGCACTTTCCAATCTTAATTTCTGAGAGTCCAAATAGACAAAATATCTACTTAAAAAACTAGATGGTCAAAAAACTAGATGTTGTTTTCTGTGATATGAAATGACCAGGTGTGGTTTTATTCATTTTGTTTTGTTTTGTTTTGTTGTAAAAACCTTAATCATGTTGAATTCATTTGCTCTTTGAAATAAACTTCTGAAATTGACAGTAAAACAACAAAAGCACTTAAATAAAGAGGACTGGAATTCTACATTTCTATCCATAATACCTTTTTTAACTCTTGCTTTGACTGACATCTAGTGAGTGGCCCAGAATTCATTTCTTCTTTTGGGTTTCTCCTATCCCTATACTCCCCTGCTTGAGACTAGCATCTAGATACTTCTAACAGACCACTGAACCTAGCATTTTTCCCACATATATTTCCTAACCAAATATTTTGTGACCCAAAAAAGTTTGTCATTCTTTTGGGGCCCTTTGGTTATAGCTACCTGGATACACTAATTATTGTTATAACAGGCATAAAATGAATGTGCTCTGCCATTGAAAACCAATAGGAGTCTTTAATATATATATTTTAAAGTACTGCATCATGCCAGGATAAGAAGAGAGAGACTATTGATCAATCATAGCAAACTAATGTATCCGTTCTTTGAACTGTTGCCATTTCTTACAGTTGCATTGAATCCAACAGGTATTCAGTTAAAATAGAAGAAACTCAAACAGTGCTTTGTGGCATCTTTCTACTAAATTAGCAAGTCAGACATTATTATTAGACTTCTGAGCAAGAATGGTTCCTTTAGGTAACTGTATATAATCCTCAATAAGCACCCATCACTAATTCTCTTTATAACATCTTTGCTTTCAATTTTAGACGCAACCTTTTCAATTTTCTACAATCACCTTAGTAGTAGGCATGAAGAAATTGTCATTGGAAGATATAATGAAGATATAATTCTCCCTTGTTCATTTGAGAATGAGCCTGGTGTTGTAATTCACTGGAAGAATCAAGAGAACCACAACGTTCACAGTTACTACAAAGATGATGACCAGTTGGAAAAACAAGACCCCAGATTTGCAGACAGGACATCTCTCTTCCGTAGCGAGATTCCAAATGGGAATGCCTCTCTATGTTTCAAAAGATTAAATCTTCTGGATGAAGGAATTTATACCTGCTACGTGGGAACAACCGTTAGTCAGACCACACAGAAAGTGGTGCTGAAGGTTGGAGGTGAGTGCATGTAAGATTTCAAAAAACCTCCTATCATTCAGGGCTACTCGGAAACAAGTCAATTCCTTCCTCACTGTTTTTAACACACAGCAACTCGTAGCATGACTATAATAAATACATCCATGAGCTCTGACTGTTTTTCATGCATTTCCAGTGTTTTTTATTACCAAAAAAGTGATGAGTATCTTCACAGTTATATTTAACACAGTTATATATTATAGGAAATTATATCAGATAAAATTACCAGGAGTAGGGCCTTAATATGTTAACGTACCAGTATAAGAATATCCATTTGTCTTTTAGTTCAGTCAGCACTCAATGCTATTGATCTTAAATATTTCTGCCAATATAATGACTAAAAATGCTAAATTTTTATTTAAATTGTTTCTGTAATAAAAGTGAGTTATTTTAAAATTACTTTCTTTATCTCTGAAGTAACTATATGTAATTGGGTTATATGTATTAATTGCTGCCAAATTTTATGATAACACTGAATCAAACAACCATTCAATTAAGTTTAAAAAATGTAGTTAAACAGAGCTTCATGGTTTATTTCTAATATTTAAAATATAGATTCTTGATGATGTGGTCCATTAATGATCAGATTCCTGATCGCAAATACAGTATATTGTAGGCATAGTATAAGATATTGTACTTTTTTGGTACCATTTTGCAGATATGTTTTTATAAGTTGAAGGTTTATGGCAACCTTGTGTTGATGAAGTCGTTGGCCACAATTTTTCCTACAGCATGTGCTTACTTTATGTTTCTGTGGCATTTGGTAATTTTCAAAATATTTCCAGCCTTTCCATTATTAATATAAATGTTGTTATGGACTATTGTAAGTGATTTTTGAAGTCTGTAAATGCTGTGAGATGCTACAAAGCCTGTTCATGCAAAGCAGTGAATTTTGTACATGCATGATTATTCCACTCACTGGCTGCTCCAGGTCTCTCTCCTTCCTTGGGCCTCCCTATTCTGTGTGACACAGTGATCTTGAGATTATGTGACTTAATAATTTGACAGTGACTTGCAAGTGTTCAAGTGGAAGGAAGAGTGACACAGCTCCTATAAGGCTTTAGTTACAAATAATTAGTGAGGAAGGCCTGTTAGGAGCCCATACAGGCCAAAAGCTAGGCCCTTTTGCCAAATAGCCAATCTGCGAATACAAGGAAAGAATTCTCAAGGGAAATTAAAAGTGCTATTGCAGTGAACACATGAATGATAAGAAGACAGAATTACCTTACTTGTTGATGTGGAGAAAGCATTATTGGTCTAGATAGAAGTAACTAGTTTAGTTATAAAACTCCCTTAAATCACAAGGCCTAACTCTCTCTAGTTCTATGAAGGCTGAGAGAGATGAGAAAGCCATACAAGATTTTGAAGATAGCCCAGATTATTCATGAGGGTTAGGGAAGAATTTGTCTTCATAACATAGAAGTACAAAGGAAATCAGCACGCACTGATGTAGAAACTACAGCAAGTTATCCAGGAGATCTGGCAAGATAAAAGGTGAAGGTGTCTACACTTAACACATTTTCAATGTATCTGAAACAGTCTTGTACTGGAAGAAGATGCTACTTAAGACTTTCATAACTAGGCTTCAGAGCTTCAAAGGATAGACAATCTCTTGTTAGGTCCTAATGCAGCTGAGCATTTGAAGTTGAAGTCAATGTCTACGAAGTGTTCCAAAAATTCTAGGCCTCTTAAACTTTATATGATAGCTACTCTTCCTGTACTCTATAACAGGAATAACTAAACCAGCATGATAGCACATCTCTTTATACGGTGTACTAAATATTTAAGGCCCACTATTGAGTAAAGCTGTTCAAAGGGAAAAAATTCCTTTCAAACATTACTGCTCATCGACAATGTACAGGGTCACCAGTGATCGCTAAGGGAGCCATCCAGGGAACTTAGCATTGCTTGTATACCTGTTCACACAACACCTATTCGGCACCCCAGTGAATCAAGAAGTAATTTCAACTTTCAAATGTTATTATTGAAGGAATTTATTTTATAAGTCTATAGCTGCCATAGATGGCGACTGGTCTAACATGGTAATTTCCTCTTGGAAATCGAAAACTTCTGTAAGGGAGTCACCATTCTAGGTGCCATTAAGAAGACACAGTGGAGCTTGCCTTTTGTTCCAGGTACTTGGGAAGCTGAGGCAGACACATGGCAAGTTGGAGGCTGGCCTGGGCAACTGGACACATAAAGAGCCAGAGTACAGCTCTGTGTAGACGCTGCGGACTTCAGTATCTACATCACTTCTGAGAGAAGCCCAAAATATCAGCAATAGTAGGAGTCTGGAGGAAGCTAGTCCCAACCCTAATGGAGGACTTTGAGGGGTTAAGACTTCTATGGAAGCAATACCTGCAGAGTGGCAGAAATAGTAGGGGAACCAGAATTAGAAACGGAACCTGAAGATTTGACTGAATTGTTGCATTCCCATGATAAAGCTTTAATGAATGAGGAATTGTTTATCATGCATGAGAAAGGAAAGTGGTTTCTTTAAATGGAATCAACCAGTGACGATTCTACTGACATGAAAACAAAGGATTTATTTTAGAGCAGTACAGAGACTTTGTTGATAAAGCAGCAGCAGGATTTGACAGGACTGATACAAATTTTGCAAGTTCTGCTGTCAGTAACATGCTGTCAAACTGGATCACGTGCTACAGAGAAACTTTTCATGAAAGGAAGATTTACCTGATGCAGCAGACTTCACTGTTGTACTTCAAGAACTCAATACATTCTTCCAGTGAAGGTGTTTGGCCCCTTTGTTGAAGATAAGGTAGCTGAATGTGTTTGGAATTTTTTTCTGCAACTTCTAATCTATACATTGATCCTTGGCTAGTACGACGCTATTTTTATCACTGTAGCTTTGTAGTATGTATTTGAAGTTGGGGATTGTGGTGCCTCCTGCCTTTCCTTTGCTGCCCAGAATTGCTTTTGCTATTCTAGGACTCTTCTGGTTTCAAATATTTAGGAATGTTTTTTCTAATTCTGCGAGGTATGCTATTGGCATTTTGATGGGGATTGCATTAAATCTGTGTAATAATTTGGGGAGTATGGCCCCTTTAACTAAACTGGTTCTTCCTGTGCACGAGCAAGGGACATCTTTCCATTTTCTGATACCCTCGTTGATCTTTTTTCAGAGTACTATAATTTTCAATTAAAGATCTACTTCACTCATTAGATTGAGTCCTAAGTAACTTTTTTTCAAAATGATATTGTGAAATGCATGGTGAATCTTGCAGTGAGTTTGTCATTTGTGTACAAGACTGATAGTGATTTTTGAGTGCTGACTTTATATCCAATGACATGACTGAATTTTGTTAGTAAATCTACAAGTTTTTGGTGGAATTTTTGGGTGTTCTATCTGCAGTATCATGTTATCTGCAAATCATTATAGCTCAGCTTCTTCCTCGTCTATCTTTATTTCTTTTTCTTGTCTAACTTCTTTGGATAACATTTTCTAGAATTACATTGAATAGGAGTAGTGATAGTGGACATCTTTGTCTTGTTCTTGATTTTACAGTGAAAGTTTTCAGTTTTTGACCATTCAATATATACCACAGTGACATATGCACACCCATGTAGCAGTACAGTTCATGATATCTAAACCTTGGAAATGACCCAAATACTCATTGACTGATAAATGGATAAAGATGTATTTTTATACAGTGTTAGTACTACTCATCCATAAAGAAGGATAAGCTTGAGACATTTCTAGGTAAATGGATGCACGTTGAGACCACACTCTTAAGTAAAATAAATTTGACACACGTGTAAATATCACATTGTTTCTCTGGTGTGAGAAACCAAAAGTATATAAATAAAGACCAAAATGTATCATAGATATTGTGAAATAGGAAGAAAATGTTGAAATGGGAAGGGGAACTAAGGAGAGGAGAAAAACTAAAGGAAAAGAAAAGAAGAAAAATGTAAACAAATCTTTCATAAATAAGGGAGGAAAGAGGGGATGAAGAGTAGTTAGAGGGATGAAAAAAAATTAAGATATATCAAGTATGGATACAGATTCCTGATGATGGATATGATCATTATGTATATCTAAAATACACCAATATATCTGATTAAAATTAAATAATGATAGCTAACCCACTACCTTGAATACTCATCCCCATCAGTATGAAGGTGAAACACCACTGCTTGCCAGTAGCTCATTGTACATTATTTTTGAGGTCTGCTATTGTACACTTAATTAGGCAGCACATAAAATAGCTTTTATATGCCCTGAGGCATGAAAAAAATTATATAACTTGCTTTGTTGCAATAGTCACTGGACATAGCAATGCTCTGTCTCCAAGATGTGCCTGAGTATGTGTTCTATGTTCAGGGATATGGTTTCTGTAGATCATTTTTATCTTTGCCTTGTTCCTTCTCCCTTTACTCATGTAGCTCCTTGACATCTGGGCTCAGAATCTAAGAATCATATTTAAACAGTGACTCAAATAGGCTGTTAGTATCTGGGGTTTAGAGTGTCATGTAAACTCTAGTTTATAGACTTTGGCCACATTTTATTTTCTTGCTCAGATAAGGTCAGGAGATTTATTAGTTAATTTTCTAAGAAATAGAGATTGCTATTTGTTTCATATCTATGCAAGCTCTTTTTCATTCTTCCTGAATAAAGACCTATATCTGAAGGTTTTAGGAAAGTTTTGTTTTGTTTTGTTTTGTTTTTTTCAGCGCTATCAAGTTTTGTTCATAATCTTAACTTTTCCATTTATGAGCATTAAGAAGTATGCTGCCCAGATGGCCCATGAGGAAACCAATAGTGACCCCTGTCCCTGTGCCCCTCTTTCCTGCGCAGCCTTCCTGAATCCTGTGATGCAGTATGAAAACAGAAGTACAAGCAGCCTCCTGACGTGCAGTGTGCTCAGCGTTTATCCTCGGCCACACATCACATGGAAAATGGATTCTGCCTCCATCTCTGGAAGCAAAACAGAAGAAACGGGGTATCTGGGCCCTTTTTATGTTAACAGTACCCTGGATATCACAGGATCCAACTCATCTTATGAGTGCGCAATTGAAAATCCACTGCTGAAGCAAACGTGGACAGGACAGTGGACACAGGAAGGTAGGCTCCATGGGACTTTCTGTGTGCTGCGCTGTCAGAGGACCGGGCTACTCTGGAGCGAGTTCACAGGAAAGAAGGAGACACAAAGAAAAAGTTCTTACTGCAGAGTTAATTCCCGTGGGCTATATTCTCTTAAGCAGTCATTTCCAATTCTGAGCATTGTTTCTTCTTTGATGAAGTGGCAGCATTCTTACCTTGATAGATGTTTATGATTTGAATAAAAATATTTGTGAAATGGGAACTACAAATAGATTCATGAATATTATTATATTTCTCCATGGTTCAACCTCCAAGCAGGATTTTATATCTGTATTACCCTTTAGAGAGATCAAAGGAGGAAGGACAGTTTCTTAGCAGGTCAAAGAATGAATTTTTGTTATTATTTGTGGTTCAGTCTCTTAACATTGCATTGACCCATTAATCTTTTTTTTTTTTTTTTTTTTTTTTTTTTTTGGTCTTTTTTGTTTTTATCGGTACCGGGGATCGAACGACCCATTAATCTTTATGCAACACTTTTATCACAGCATAATCAGATTTCTATCCTCTTCCTATTTTTTTTAAAATCGGTTCCGGGGATCGAACGACCCATTAATCTTTATGCAACACTTTTATCATAGCATAATCAGATTTCTATCCTCTTCCTTTTTTTTTTTTTTTTTTTTAATCGGTACTGGGCATCGAACTCATGACCGCCTGCTTGCATAGCAGGTGCTTATGCCACTGAGCTAAATCCCCAGCCTCTATCCTCCTCCTTTTAAAAATTATTTGAATGAAACTAAGCTTTGATCAATTTCTATATCCATAAGCTTCTTTTTAAGAAAATACCAATGGAAAGAAAAATTAATTTGATAACTTCTGTTCAATCCTGAAGTTTTATACTTATAAGCACAGCAAAATTTTCTGTAACTCTCTTTTATGGAGAGAATAGAAGTTAGCTATTCTTTTTGGCTTTACCTTCCCAGGTAAAATGTTCTCAAAATGTTCATCAACAAAATACTGAAACTGTGGCTGACTGACTATCTTTACATGATCCCAGGGAGAAAGGCAGGTACACTCAAGAACCCATCTGCTATCAGCCAGGCAGCAATGGAAACATAAAAAACGTTCAAATTCTAACATTAAATTATGAAGATCTTTGCTGGCGAACAATTATCTCCCATGTTCCTTCAGAATTTAGTACCCCGAAGCAACAATTCCTTAAATTCAGTATTCTTGCCTGAGACTCTAATATGTTTCAAGATTTGTCATGCTCAGACTGTGAACTTAAGAACACAGATGCTTATGCATCTGGGTCCACAGTATGTAGTGCGAGCATGTAGAAACAAGCCTGAACTGGGAATGCGGCATACAAGGGGAGTAATTAATTGTATTCACAGTGCTTTGGCATGAGTGGGGTGGTTACCGAATACATGCTTGAGGTGTCAGGTATGGTCAGAACTGTACTAGTAAGAGATTCTGGGAGAATATCTGCACTCTAGGTACAAAGCACAAAGTCACGAAGCAGTGAAATTTTCTGAGATTTATGGAAGTGTAAGTATTTGAAGATAAAACTAGAAAAACGATGACTTAGACCTAGAGAGGGAGGCAAAAATAAAATGAAATACTTCTATACTTTTCTGAGGAAATTAAAATCTATCTGAATCAAAGGGGGGATTTGAAATATCAGAGAGAGCATGGATTTGCATTTTAGATTTTTGTTATAGCATCTCTCCTCTGCAGATGCACTGAAAGCCAGTGGGTATAGCTCAGAGAGGGAGAACCTTTGGAGCTTTGAATGATACATACAGCCTGCTGCAGCACATGTGTCAAAGGTTCACCATCACTGGTCCAGGGCCAGCAAGAATTATCTATGTTGGTCCAAAGAATTTAGCTTGCAGAGATGCAGAACAGGAAGGACAAGATGGCACTCGAGCTCGAAAGCCAAACTGATAATACCCAGCAGAGTCCCTCTTATAAAATAGCTCTTCTGGGAGGTAACCTGCACATAGCCAGAAATATACTACCTATGCTCCGACAAAGAGAATTGGCCTACATCTGTGTGATGTGGTGAAGACCGTGAAAAGAGAAGGGACCATTAGGACCTAGGCAGAGTTACAAGAGGCAAGTCCTGGGAAACAGGAATATTTAGAATGGGGGTCAACAGGGGGAGGTCAGAAGTTTAACAGCAGATAGGAACTTGCCTAAATGCTTACTGTCAGGATGCAGAAATTAATATCAAGATACATCACCTCCCTAGCTGGCCCATTTTGAAACCCATTTTGAAAGTCTTTGAGGGAAATCTTTGAAATAGTACCCATAAAGATGTTTTTAAATGAAATTCTGCGGCACAGATATTTAATTTCTTTTCAAAATATTTCTGAAGATATCAGTATTTCAGTATTCATTCCCTGCTAAATGTAACTTAAAGAATTAATATCTCCTTTCCTGTTCTGTTGTTAGGTGGCCTTTGTAAAAGGCAAAGTGAATACCTTTCACTCTCATGTCAAGGAATAAGAAACTTTTCCCTACCGAATGAAGACTTCACAGTCACTTGGTCCAGATTGAAAAGTGGGACTTCTTCCATTTTGGGTTGCTATCTGAGCTCTTCACAAACTTCAAAAATCAGTGAACCCCGATTCTCTTGGAACAAAGAGCTGACAAACCAGAGTGACTTCTCTATGACTTTGACAGATCTTAGTCTTTCAGACAGTGGAGAGTATTTGTGCAATATTTCTTCAAGAGAATATACTCTGCTCACAGTCCATACACTGCACATAGGTAAGTTGAAGGTAGGTTAAGTAAAGAGTTTTGGCTACAGCAGTAGAAATTTGTACATATCGTACAAACTATTAGATTAGCTTTCAAAGAATATTTTAGTGTTTCTTAAAATGTCATCTACAAGAATATTTCTGGGCAAGACTAGAAAGCCCTTCTTCCTTGGATTATGCAAAACTCTTTTATTGGAAAAATACTTTATGTTTAGGCATCAGACTTTATGTTCTTGGTTACAGGACTCCAGAAATTAAAAAGAACCTACATATCTTGGTGACTGTGGGATAAATATCTTCTGTTCGTGGCTGTACCTAATAAATGCCTTAAAGCCCAGGTTTTGGAGCTGAGACTGCAGACACAGTGAGAAATTAGAACCAGGGCCCCATTGGAGGCTGACAAAACATGGCATTGAGCATTAACTTGGTGGAAATAATAACCACCTGACATATGAAACACTGTAGATGCGCAATTCGGTTTACTTTAAAAGTCTCAACAGTTAATTGCTGAAAATTTATTATTTTAAATATTTCTAGCTCATTAACCCAAAAGTCAGGATATATGTTCTGTGAAGTTGCCTTTGTAGGTGATCTGGTTGGTTCTCCCAGCTTACTGTCTCAATTTGACCTGGTGGGGCATGGTAGATTTCTTCCTGCTCTTTAATGAAGGATATTTGTATCAATGGATTCTGTGATGTTTCACATATTTTTATCAGACTGCAAAAATGAGGAGTAACACAGTTATTTGGAGGCTTAGCTATTCTATATGGCAAGATTGGAAATACGAGCACAGAGTTGTCCTCAGGTTATATGGTCTTACAAAAAGAAGCTTCTAGACATGAAGTTGTACTATTCTTTTTGTAGAGCTGCCACTTTGACAGTATAGAATGAAAAAATAGGATGCATGAAACTTCTTTCTCTAAAATAAGAGTGTCAGTTTTATGAAAAATGCAGTTAAGCCTGAATTCTATTTTTAAAAGTGTTACCTCATGTTGGATTCATTTTGGAGTATAGAAAAATAATCAGGAAGAATCTGTCTGAAGCCACATATGGCTCCTATTCCTAACTAGAGATGGAATTTCCAATTCACGCAAAGTGAGGCATCAGGACTATGGTATCTCAGACAAAGAGGTTTTTCAGAACCTCTCATTCCCAAGTTAACCCTAGCCAGGAGGACTGGTGGAGGGTGGGCCACAGCCCCCCCCAAAACAGTCCTGGAGAAGGGGCCACCCAGACAGAGAAGACAAAATGGCAAATATTTGTAGTATCTTACACATTAGCCTTTCAATGAAATTTGGTTTCCTAGGGTCTGAGGACATAGATCAGTGGTAGAGTATTTGCTTAGCATGCTGAAAGCCCTGGGCTCAGTTCTTACTGCCATAAACAAACAACCTCTCAAAATGAAACAAAACATAAAGAAAATTGGTTTTCTATTCTAAATTGCAATTTTCTGCCTTGTCTGGGAGATGCCACAGCAGGTGAAAAGAAGGTCCAGATTTGAGGCGGGGGTGCTTATGAATCTTAGAATCTAGACCTGCTCAGAAGAGTTGTACCAAACTAAAGGAAATAAATAATCCTTTCTGAGTTGTACTGCTAATTGAGGATGTGACAGTGGGAGAAAAAGAAGAAGAAGCAACTGAGGGTCATAGGTCAAGTAAGAAATAGCAGTATGTACCTTGTAGGATTTATAGGATTTATAGGATTTTTACTGGGAGGAAATTTGTATGAAAACATATTACAGACCAAGCCTTACATTCCTACTTCATCTTTCCTACTTGGTAAAGATACAGAACTTCAGAATGTTTCAAATAGGTGAGGCTAATGTTTTGTTGCATGTAAAACATTATTAACTTTATTAATAATAATGGTATGTTCATAAAGATAGATGCCTATTATGATTTTTCCATGCTGAACTGGCCTTGGTGCTCTAATACTTCCTATAATAACCTAACATTTCCAAACTCCTGCCTTCAGGAATCCTTTTAATACTAATTATAATTTTCAGCAAGACCAGAATTCTAGAAGTTCAAGTTCCTGTAGCTTTTCCTGAGAATCCACAAGCACTATCCAGTGTGCATCTGTTGCTTCTTTGGTCACCTCTGAACTTCATATCAGTATCTCACTAGGGTACTGTCATCTCCAAGCCAAGGGTGGATGGCATTCTTCTGTCGTGGGCTTTGGGCGAGGCTAGTTTACAGCTCCAATTATTCTTTTAAAAAAAGTGTTAATTCCATGAGTATATATAAAATAGAAATTTAAAATCCATAGCAGCCTCATTGCTGTCCAATTTTTTAGACTCTTTGCTCTCTTGCCCTTCATCCTGCCCTAACTTAATATTATATTGTCTGCAGCTTTCCCATAATAGACCCCGAGCCAGGGAGATAGTTATCCTTATGGCAAATTCTCCCATCTACCCTGGAGTCTTGACTTTAATTTTGAAAGGCCAATTTATTATGTACAGTGTTTTCTTATGAAATTCTGCCTCTCATCTAGAATGCAAAAATAAGTAATGTTAAATATGGTAAACGTAACCCACCTCCACTCATTTATCCCCACCCCTACTTTTCTTTTTTGGTAAATTTTCCTCCAGTTCACAAACTTACTTTGTTTTATTTAGAACCAAGTCAAGAAAGTATTTCCTGGATAATTCCGCTGGCTTTGGTTGCTTGTGTGGTGTTTCTGATCTTGATTGTGACATGTTGTACTAAATGGAGAAGCTACATCTCAGGTAATATGGAGCATTTGGCTCTGCCCTAAGTATTGCGTGTCCTGTGCATCAGCGATGACATGGAAACACATACACTGCTGACTCGCATGTAAACACATCTGACTTTTCTGGAGTCATTTTAAAAATTTGTCCTTTGACATGCCTTTACATTTCCTCCCTAGTATCCTACTAAAAATCGCAAAAATGTATCCAGAGAAAGGGATCAAGAGGCTCACAAGCATGCATTGTTATCATTTCCTGTTTTTTTTTTTTTACTATTTTCATGAGGGAACTGATTATTTAATTGACAGTTATAGGAAATGTAAAAAAATACAAATTTTGTATTAAATTAATAAATAGAATGATCATCTTGCAATGAAAGACAGCTGGGAAGAATAAGAAGAAAACTTTAAAAAGTTGTTTTTGATCTGACCATGAGTTGCCTAGATCTGTATATCTTACCCAGTTAGCTTCTTCAGTTATGAGCTCTTGCTCCCTCCTGCTCCAAGCTTATTCAGATGGTTGGTGCTTTCCAAAAATGCAGTATTTGTGGCTCATTTTATTTTAATCCTTGTTATATTAATTTTTCTTAAATTTTATATAACTAACATACTATTTACAGTAGTTCAAAACAATACCTTCTGATGCTATGGTCACACTTCTCCTTAAAATACTTTGCATTGATGAATAGCAGCTGAGCATTTGAGGAATCCAGATGAAATTCAGATCTAGTTTATCTCCACATTTTATTTCCACACTCCAGAAAACAGGAACCCAGGAAGTTCACTCCAGTGCTAGGTGGACTTAGGAAGCAGATTTACATGTACTGCCTGAGGCCTCTCACTAACTGGTAGGCCTAGGCCCCCAGAAACTTTAGCACATTTCAATGTCATCCTGAGCAGTGCTCGGGTGTGCTGGGAGGTTGACACAGATCTTATGTCTCGTCCATGAATGCCTTGGATTGACATTTCCCCACCACCCCCACTAAAATTAGAGGATTTTGTTAATAGAGAAACTGAGGCAAGGTAAAGGGTCTGATACTGCCCAGCAGGAACTTTTATTACAGTGCTACCCCAAATGTCTTGCAGCCAATCGGCCACATCAGGCATCTCATGGCTGCTCTGGGAGATACTTGTTTTAGCTGGAGCAGGCTTGTCGGGACCCTTCCCAGATGATTCTACCCTGAAACCTCTCTGGATGATTCTGTCCCTGTACAGCCTTCTGCACTTAGCTATGTGAAGGTCCCCTCCTTTAGCCATGATGAAATAGAAAGTCTGATGCTGTGCATGTGAGAGCCCAACCTTTTTTGCTTTACAAGCAACCCCCTTAGTGGACTCGGCACATGTGCTTCTCCCTCATAGATTGCAGCATATAACCTAAAGCCTCTTCTGGATAGCATGTATGATCTGTTCATACTTTTATCTGCAGTAGAGGATGCTATCTGGTACACTAGGAGCTGGTAACATCAGCTGGTGCTGAAAGAAGCCAGCAGCCAGCGCTGCTAACACTGATGTCCACTGGTAAACGAGAATGATGGACAGAATAGTTGGCAGTCACCCTCTCTGGTACCTGGAAGAGTTCCCGAGGCCTACTGTGAGCTGCTGCACCTGGGCAGCAAAGAGATACACTGATACTTAAAGAGCTGAATAGCTGCTGGCATTTTTGTATGGATTGAGCAAGAGCCCCTAGCTGATCAGTGATATCTTGGAAACCAGTATGGGACACTGTGCTTTAGAAGGCCCCATAAAAGAGAGTAGACAATGATATAGGCCTCAGTAAGCTCAAGAACTAGTCCTTTTTGATTTTTATATTTCCTGTGGTTAAGGACACTTGCCAGTGACAAAATCATTATAGAGAATCAGCTTTCAATAGTGACAGTGTGCAAGCGTCTCATCAGTCCTGCACTAATAAGCAGACAGGTGTTCTGGTGATTCCTGTTCCTTGACTGGCCAGAAGCAGTCATAGGAAGTACCTCACAGGTAGTTTAACTTATCCCCTCAACAGCCCTTGACTTATTATAATGATAATACTAATATAATGATTATACTAGATTCAAATTATGGGAGAGGGGCCACTGCACATGCTCAATAACACAGTTCCCAAATTGGAAGTCTCCATTGTCAAGTCCTGACAGGAAACATTTGGTACAGTTAAAACTACAAAATGAGCACAGAAGAGAAGACACAAGGCTGGAGTGGAGTAGCTCCCAACACCTGGAAGAAGGGAGCCACATTAAATCACTGACTTGTATTGGGGTGACTTCAGTCAAAGGGTACAGACAGACCAAGGACAGCTTACAGGGCAGGAGCTAGAACATTGACCCAAATGAACATTTCTCTTCCTGCAATCTCCAGGAGTCAAAGGGAATAGGTGTCCTGCTTGTCATAAAGCAAATACATTACGGTTTTAGAGGAGCATTCAGAAGACATAGGCAAATATTGACTAGTTAATAAAAAAAAAACTCTGAAAAAAACATATAGAGTTGCTAAGTGCCACAAAACCTGGCCTTCCTCTAGGTCCCTGGTTGTAGCTTCAGGTGATATAGCTTATGTGAGTTTGTTTTTATTTTAGAATTCTGTTTTTTATTACTTTGTTTTAAAATGCACTTAGTCCAGGTTATGGGATATAGGACAGCAAAGAGGGTGAAAATGAGGGAAAAAATGTCATGTCCAGTGTAAGTCTGTCAAAATGGAACACATCAATCTGTATAACCAATAAAAAACAGTAAAACTAACGGAGGCGGGCTGAGGATTTAGCTCAATGGCATAAGTGCCTGCCTAGCAAGTGTGAGGTCGTGAGTTTGATCCCCAGTGCCACAAAAAAGTAAAAAAAAAACAAAAAAACTAACTGAGGCAACTGATTCATCCAAGCTTAGAAGGAAAGTCTTCCTTGAAGTGTTTTGCTTCAAACACCGCATCCCCTTGGCCATGACTTTCCCATTGTTAGTCATTGGTGGATATTAAACCAACAACTTGAAAGCACCAAGAATTGCTGGTGTGGCTGAACTGTGTTTATTTGCCCCATTGGACTACTCGAATCAATCATAAGAATTCACTGCTGTTCCTGATGACATGTTTCTACACTGAATGCATTTTTAATGCTGTTTGTTGGAATGAAGATGCGAAAGGGGAAGTAACAAAGGTATTTTCATAACATAATTATACTGAACAGGAATAAGGGAGAGTTTGAATGTTTGCAAAGAAAATTTTTTATGTTTTTTTTTTCCCTTGCAGAGAACTGTTGTAATAGCGTGTCTTCTAAACGCAAGAGTAGCAATGATAATCTAGAAGTAAACGTGGTAAGGCATCATTTCCTTTATCAAACTATTTATTGATGCTGCTATAAAAAGCAATTGAAATTTTGACTAATTTACATCATCACATAAATCTTAGGGGGAAAAAAAAGAGGGATTCCAAGATACTATAGCAGGAAAATACAACTAGGCTTTTCTCTGTGCCTGTAATTAAATAGGCTGTTCTTGCCTGAATGAAAGTGAGGATTGTCACAGAAGCTATCCAATGGCATCATGCATTTGTGAGTGCTCCAATGTACTTATTCTTGTGATAAAAACACAAAACGTGGGCTTCTGTTGAAGTACAAAGAAGCACAGACCATCATACGGGGAAAAGGAGACCACAGTTTCTGCTAAGATTGACTGCTGACCTCTCATGCTTTTCCAGCCACTTCTGGCTTCCTTGGCAACTGATAATTCATGTACAAATTATAGTTTGGTTACATGTTTCCTTGTCTCTGCATATCTTTTATCATTTGTATGTTCCAATAAGTAGAGTACAAGTAAGGGCTAAAAATGTTTTCCACTGTTAAAGACTCAAGAACTTCCAGCTAGGGATTAAAATAGATATGATTCAGATTTTGTAGCTACTTATAAAGTAAGAATTTCATAGATCTTTGATTATAGATGCAAGCAATAGCTTAAAACTCCCTCTCCCCCACCCTAAAAAATTATCCTTTAAACACTTAAGATAAAAAAAATTATTCTGACTTGAACGACAGATATTTATAGGCCATTTTCTTGGTTTTAGCCTCTTCAAGAAACCAGCCAGGACAGGAAATGAAGGCAACTGTGAGGAGCATCCGTAATACACAATGATGTCATCTCGCCCTTCACTGCAGTCCCAGGCAATGGCTTGTCAGGCCTGACAGTTTTACCTCTGCAAAGACTGAATTACTCTCTTTTCCAGTGTGATGGTTTGAACATGTCCTCAATAATTTATGTAATACAAACTTAATTGTCAACACAACAGTGTTGGAAGCTGGGCCTAATAAGAGGTAATTAGGTCATGAGGGCCCTACCCTGAGTTTGGGAGTGGGATAGTTATTGCAATGATAGGTTAAAAAATGAGTTTGACCCCTTTCATCCTTGCCTTTTCTTGGCTTTCTGCATAGGATACAGCAAAAAGATTCACAACAGAGGCCAGCACCTTGATTTTGGATTAGCCCAACTTCCAGTACTGTAAGAAATAAAGCTCTGTTCTTCATAAATTACCTAATGGCAGGTTTACAAGACATCCAATATTATACTCACTCATCACAGTATATGCACTAGTACTGAGCCTCCTACCTGCATTAGATGATAAGTATGTAGGTACAAACTGTTTCAGTTTACCTTAGAATATAATTCTTAATTATTTACCCTGCTGCAGTAAGCCCAGGAGAATGCAGTAAGTTTCCACCTAGAACTCAGCAGCAATATACTACCAGGAGCTGATCCACAACCTGGTTAACTTATGAGATGAGAAATGAAAACACTAGGAACAGGTACATCTTAGTGAAAATATGAAAATCCAGGCTTGAAAGCAGGACAACTGATTTGAGGGGATGCAGTCTAGGTTTATATAAGTGGTTGCATGAGCATAACCCTCAGAATTTAGTATGGTAAGACACAGGGATACTATGAAGTAAACATCTTGGAAGAATATTTAGGGAAAATTGATGTATGTGGAGTCAGCATGTTGTGATTAAGTGACCCTGGCCATGAAGATAATTTCATGAACTTTCCCAGGTGGTATATTGTTAATCAGTCTTCTCAAAGATGTCAATTCCACATAAATTTAATACATGGAGAGAATGGAGTGCCTGGCTCACTTTATAATCTTTCCTTTGCTATTAATCATCAAATTATAGGGAAATGTCTAATGTTAATTTTTTGTGAATTTGTCAATGTAACCAGACTTTTAGCCAAAGTATTGGCCCTAAAGTTTATTGAAAAAAGTCCCTCAAGTAAGATATGACTGCCACCTGGTCCAATATTAGCTCCCCTCTATTTTATAGTCTCATACTTTCTGCATAATTTTGTTAACTCAAGTGTTTGCTAAAATGTTGTGACAGATATTTGTAAATAGTAAAGAATTAAGGCCTTCAACCTAAAGGAAATCTACATTAAGATAATGTTTAAGTGCCTGACATATTTGCCTCTAGCAATTTTGGTACCTTTTAAATTGTGCCCAATAAAAATAAATTTACTAATAAATTAATACTTGATAATATATCAAAACAGAATTTATGTTCCCAAGCTGAAGTTTGGGGTATTCTGACTTCATGAAGCATCTGCAGTATGAAGAAGTGATAGCATTTTGATTTCAGATTTGGCAATGTAAAATAGAAATTTTCTAAGCTAGATATTAAGATAAAGATATTTTCTAGCTGTAAATATTGGGTTATTTAAGAGTGATTTCAAATTTAATTTGAGGGAAGCTTCTAGTATTCCAGAAAAAAATCTTGGAAAAGTACCCATTAACATCCATGTATGGAGGAACCAGTTCATCTCAGAGAGAGGAAGGGTGCTGAGCTGTGTATACTGTACATGTCCACCACAAATTAAGCACATGTAAACTTTGATTGTAATTATTGAAAGTAAACATTGCACAAATATCACAAAAACAGAAAAGTTACATGTTAAATGTTGCACATTTTCTCATTGTGTTGAGAGTGTTGGTAGGGAGAGCATTGCTTTAAATACATAATTGGACTAGGTATTTGTCCCGTCGCCTTCCACACCAAATCTCAGAACTCTCATTTGGCTCCCTGTACTTGGAGTGGCCTGATATTCAGGAGGATCAGCCCTGTTCTTTCTGATCCACCCTGGCCATTTCTGTTTTCTTGCTCTCAGACTGGCTTTACTACAGGCACATGTTCAATGGGATAGGAGGAAAGGTATTTCCAAGGGCTACTGGGAGGGTGTTTCAGCATTTCAGAAGCGACACAGGGTACCACGTGTGCAGAATACTCAGAACCACACTCATCTTCTTACACAGTACGAGCGAAAGACTGAAAGATCAAAGCCAACATGTGGAGGATTTAAGCAAGAAAGAACTTGGAGTCTTTGATACTTCTGAGTCCCTCAGTTAATCTCAGAGCTGCCTGTATGAGGCAAGGTTGATCAGAGAGGCAGGACCATTGAGAATGACAGAGAATAGGATTTATTATAAGACTTCAGCCTGATACAATTGTGGGTTCTGGACCTGATGTGGCCATGGGTCAACTGCACCAGTGTCAGGAAGAAGAACTGATGCAGAGTGAGGACACTGAGAATGGGAGAGTCTATTAGGACAAACTGGAACCTGTTTCTGTTACCCTGTGGTGCTAATGGCTGTCTTGTAGGACATGCAGCTGCTGTGGCCCTGCACACACACCTGACTAGCACTCTGCAAAGCTAGAGGAGACGACAGAAGAGCTACGGGTCTAGGGGTCTGGCTTTCTACACAGCTGTTACTGATCTGCAGTAGCTCACCATTTCTGGCCTGGTGTAATATTCTTGAGCTATCGCAGTACTTGAGGCCATATATTGACCTTACAAATATGAAATTGATATCTGCTTGTTCATATTTTCCTATTATATCTGGTGCAAAATGTCTTGTAACCAACTTCAACTCAAAACTACATAGAAACAAATTCTGCAACACATCCCTCCTGCTTGACTCAAACACTTACAAAGCCTACACATCATGGTCATCAAAGGTTTAGATGTGTGAAACCTCACCTTGGTAGTTCAAGTCCATACCAGCCTACCTGTGTGCTAACTACGAAGATTTTACCTGTAAATTCAAAGTGCCTAGCTGTGGCCAAATCTATATCATGGTGCTAAAAGAAAATCTTATAAATGCCTACTATTCATGGCTAAAAATGTAGATGTCTTTTATGGCTAAACTCTCAAGTTGGATGTACGAAAAGAACCAAGCAAAATTAGCTGACTTCAGTGATAATCATTTACCAACATTCCTTGGACATCTTGGAGCATAATTAGTCTAAGGCTATCTGCTATGAGTGTTTTGTAATAAGGAGCAACAGGGGTGAGAGAACAAAGTTCCATTTTTTTTTAACATGAGAATTTAAAAGATTCTTGCATTTATTTAATCTTTCATGTGAAATGTTAAAAAGTAGTTTACTTGCATTTGAGGATCAAAAAAACTCTTATTAACCTGGAAACCAATGATAGTCCCTTCAATTTTTACATTTTTCTAATCACCTTGTTTAAACTGCTTTTCAAAGCATATGAAAATGCTTTCTAAAATGCTTCTTTCATTAGAAGCTTGAGATTTTGGCCATAAAAGACAGCTTCCTTTTCCTTCTCTAGTTATTGCCTATTCATCATGAACTGGAAACACAGAATGCCGGTGTGTTCTGTGAAATTCTGGTGACTTTCGCCAGTGGAGTACACATCTAGACTCATGCCAAGACCTTTCCGTAGGTAAGCAGACCTTAGCCAACTCTTCATTAGCTTCAAAGGGAGGAAGGGAATTCAGGTGATTATCTGCATTACAGAAAACAAGAACTAGAATTCACTCATAACCTGGTCATCACTCTTGGTTTTCTCCCCCGCCCACTCCCCGTGGCTACAGAAAAGATTCTGCAGGCACATCGCCAGTTTGTTGAACAGTCCAGCCACATGACACCCTCAGAAAACCTTCCTCTTGTGCCTATGACAGTTGAAGGATTTTCAGGTTTTTCTTCTGTGAATGCCTCCCAGGAGTAATTTCTGCTTCACTCATTTTATTGTTTGGAAGTAACTGTGACAAAGTCAAATACACGACATCTGTTTTGGGGACTTTTCAACCTCCTGCAGCTGAATGCAACTGGGGCACATGGGAAGCATCTACCTGCCAAAGTCCATTATGTGGCTTGCACAGAAGACCTGGGATTCAGTGCTATTATACCACGCAAATACAGGCCAGCATCCAAACCACTTAACCTTAGCCCTTCACTTAGGACATATCCCCAAAATGGCTGTTTGAGGATCAGTAAGAACCTTCACAGCTGACACTGCCTCATTCTGTTCATATTTAGACCTAAGTATATTCATTATAATCAACTTTTAGTCTTATAAGAAATATATTTAGTCTCCCTTAAGAGTAGTATTTATCATTGACAACCCTATCAACTTACCTTCTAGGACTACTAGCAATTCATTTATCATAAATTAGAAAAAGAGCTCAGCATGCACCAAACTTTAAAAATGAAGGAACAGCAGCCACCTGTGTTAAGTGCTTTACAGGCATTCTGTAGTGGGGAGCTAAAATCACATTATCCATTCTCTTTTAATTCACTTCTAAGGCCAGACCTCATTTAAAAACGTTCCTGAGAAAATCTCAGTGAGAAGCAAAGGCTCTCCTGCCTCTGCCAAACATTTAGTTCAGAGTTTTTTATTGCTTGCTTTGCCATTTTGCCTATAAAATTAGGGCCCTGGCCTCTACCGCTGGTTAAGAATAGACATGCAGTGAACCACAGAGACACAGAAAAAATTTGTCTCTTATGTTGTGGAGCAGTAAGAAATAAAAAGCAGTGGCCTAGAAAGCATGACTGTTGCTTCTTTGTTCCCCTTAATTACCTCAAATTTAAACATCTCTCTCCTAGGTCTCTATATTGACATGATTCAAAGTTATATTCTTTTCTACCATGGAAAGAGTTCACTTAGAATTTTCAGAAAATCCATGTATGCTTCTTACATCATCTTGGCTCCGTGGACTCCTTAATATCCTACACAAATGAACTGAAGGGCCATAGCGCAGAGTCTTTAGAATTAACACGGAGTTAACCATTTGAGAAATGCAACTGGAATGTGCTTCCCTCTTAAATGCTTACCACTTCTACATGTTTTCTGGGCAAGCAGAATTTAGTAAATAGGAAAAGATTTTATTTGAACTTGTGTTTGTGTTAAGATTTTAAAGAGAAAATAATTCATTCTTATACAGGTGCATGATGACCTGAGCCCTAAAAACTGTAAAAGTGACAACAATGCTGAATATATACTGTAACTTGCTTCCAAAACCTTTCACTTTAATCTTGGGTTTTTTGACTTCAGATTTTGCTATTTCTGCCATTTCCTTTACTTGCATCAGCTCATGTTTCTTCTGCTTATATTTGGAAAGATATCGATTGGTTTGTGCCTTTTATAAAAATACAAAATGGAAAAAAATCATTCTCCCTATATAGTTTTTTTTTTTCCTCTGACATGAAAATATTGAAATATGTGAAAGGAATCTAAATTTTTGGGTAATGAGTGGGATATCCTATTTTGGCTCAAAATATAGGGATTCAGATTTTGTGGCAGGCACAAGATCCATTTGTATACCTACCGGTATTTCCTGAAAATTCAGAAACATGAACATTTTCCACTAACTGCACGTAGAATCACTTTCACAGATCTGCTCTGCTCTGGAACAACTATAGTTGTGTGTTTTGTAACAGTTCAACATCCTTTTGTACTTCGGGGATAGAGAAAGTTTGACTTAAAAATTATAAGCCAACAAGTAATTAATAGCCATAGTGGTGCTTTAGCCCAAATCATTTAATCATTTCAAAACTTCTATTAGATAATATGACTAGGAAAAACACAGTATATGTGTCATTTATCATTTACATTCCATACAGTTATGGATACTAATCCAAAGATGATAAGGGTCCTGTAGAGGGCCAAAATTAAAAGGAAACAAATATATATGCAAAGGGATTTATTAGTCAGACTGACAGGCTTTAAGGGAAAATAGTCACCAATGGCTGTCTGTGTGCTGGAGAGCTGGAGGATCCAACAGTTGCTCAGCTCAAGAACCTAGAAGCCACAGATCAACAGAGATCAAAGATACAGCAGCAATCAAAGACCAAAGACCTAAAAGTCCTCTGGAAAGTCCTTGGTAACAGTGGTATTGGAAGGCCAAGCAGGAAAAGACACACTCACTCTGGCAGAACGCAGCTTTTCAAAACAAACTCACTTCCTTATTCTTTCTTTTTATTACATCTCAGCTATGAGCCTACTGACTGTGCCACCCACAACTGGGATGGGTCAATCATGTCCAGGCACATCAAGAAAAAGCACTGTGAACTGTGATTCCGTTCTTCCAAAGTTTGATGATAAGGGAGGCTCCGGGGTGAAACCTCGCCAACAAATTTGCCATGGTTGTATACTATTAAGGCCTTAGCTGGCTCACTTCTTGTGCTGGACAGTTATTGATTGTAACTACAAGTGGCAAGAAGAGGGTTCTGACTCCTGCAGGAAAGACAAGCTCCGATTTATTTCACAGGTGAGTGTTCTAACTTAAAAGAGAAAGTGGGCAGACAGTAAGCCCTGTGGGTCCTTTTTGACCAGGAAGTCACCCAGCTCAGGGCTTTAATCATAAACAATGGCAAGGAAATCCTGAGGTAGTAATTTCCCCAGCTACTTCCCACGGCCTCCACTTGCTGTTTATAGTTCTGCACTTTCAGCTGAAGCTTGTCCACCTTAGTCTGCGCCCTGCTTGGATTTTCCTTGTCTCTCTGCCTAAAGTGTGTAGGTAAACATGTGAAGGTGATCCAAAGTTCCAGCAGTTTACCCTGGGTGTTCCCTCAAGTGAAGCAAGGTGTCAAACTATGTCAGAGTTGTGATTTGTAAAATAATATGGATTTACCTCTACTTATTCCATGTTTTGAGAAACACAGCTCTGAGCAGTGACAGAACCATTTCTTTTGATTTACCACAGCACCCCAGCAGCCCTTGATGTAGAAATCAGATCCATTAGTGTGAATGTAGTCTTCTACCCTTCCATCCCAACCAAACTACACCAGCTTGAGGTTTCTCAACAGGAATAAGTTCAATATTTAAAAGACCACTTACGGCAAAGTGGAAATCAATCACTCCCCAAACAAAACAGCTCATCCCTTGAACTTTCTAATTGAGCCTTTCATTTGGGTAAAAGAACTATAGAAAAGGTCAGGTTTTTTTTTTTTTTTTGAAAACTAGCATGAGTAGCAGCATAGATAGGAAAATTGTACAAGCTCATTGCCTCAGTTACAGTTCATGCCTCAGCTGGAGAAAGACACAACGAGGCAGAGTTTCTTTTTTTTTTTTTTTTTATCGGTACCAGGGATCGAACTCACGACTGCCTGCTTGCAAGGCAGGCGCTTATGCCGCTGAGCTAAATCCCCAGCTCCTGAGGCAGAGTTTCTTAACTGTGCTCCATGGAGCCTCGTGTGAAAAGAGGGAAGAAGAAAGCAGGTAGATGGGATGCTTTGCGTTACTCTGTTTCCCATGTACATTATCCAGAGTATTTCTGATTCAAAGTTGTTGGAGTCAGAGTCTAGCAACCCCTTCAATGTCACACCTCTAGTGATTAGGCTCATCCTCTTGAAAGTGCTAACTCCCAATAGCACAATGAATTGGGGACAAACTCTTTCACACTTAAGCCCCTCGAGGACAACCAAGAGCCAAACTGTAGCACTCTCCTGCTAAGTATCAACTTCTTATGCCCCTCAGTTTCCTTCCATTGGCCCCACACTGATCTCCTCTACTTCCCCACAGCTCCTGCTGTGAGGTATAACTTTTTACCAAAAGTTATCTGGAAACCCATTCCTGCTAAAGTTGAGCTGATAGTGGACAGTTAACTATTGATTTTAAATTTCCTGAGGTAAAGATGAATGCAGGGATCAACGTGGTTGAGGAGTTGAGCCAAGTCTATGTTTTAATTAAAATCCCCTTTCTGTTTTCATCTATACATCCCTCTAAATCTCAGGTTTATGAAACTGAATATTCATATTATGTGTTTATAGTAAATTCTAAGACCAACGCAGGGTTAATTACTAAAAATCCAATTTGCTAGAGGGGGAGAGGTGGTAAAGGAGGACACAGAAATCTGAAAGTTGAAGTTAATGATCCTCCCACTTGGGAAAGGAAAGCCTTTGATGTTAGGCCTCTCTTACATCTCTCGCTGACACACTTAGTAACTGGTAGTTGTGGTTGTGCACTGGATGTTCCCTGCAGAAATCAACTTGCCACTCAGCAGTGAGACATGCAGTAACCTGAGAGCCTCTAACTGAAGTGGCTTTGGGCTCTTCGCTGGGATCAGTACTGAGGCTACACTGTCCCCCAGGCAATAACTGGGTATGGCAGAACAACTGGACAGAGTAGGATTACCATTGTGTGGGGATTTCTGTGCAACATGGGACTCTTATCTGGAGAATTTCTGTGCTGGAGACTTGCTCAGAGCTGTACTCCTGAGGCTGCTTCCGTTCCCTGTCCCCATTACTTGCTTTCACGGGTGTCAGCTCTTCACTAAGTCTGAAGGCTTTCTCTGCCAGATTCTGCTTACATGACCCTTTATCTTTTGCAAGAGTTATCTCCAATCAATCTCTTGTACTTCTAACTCTACCATGGCATCTGGTTAATATGGAACCAATTCAACACAATGACTCAACTAAATTTTTTTCCTATCCCTAAAAATGGAGATATTATATTTGGAACAATATCTATATGAAATAAATAACATTTGCATACAGTTTCTTGAATATAGGAACCACTCAAAGATAAAATGGGGCAGCTGCTTGAAGAACAGTGGGCACAGAAACTATATTTTCTATCAAAATTTCAAGTTCCTAATCTCATTTCTTGCTTTATAGGCCCTGAAGAAACTAGGTTGAGTTTTCAAATGTCAGAGGGCATTACATATATATATATATAATGCCTATATGACTATATATATATATACATATATATAAAAACACACATACAAATATATGCCATAGAACAATTTTGGAGTGAAATCACACTTAATATCCTTTGGAGTATATGGTTATAGATTCTTTCCAGAGAATTTTTACTGGGAGAAGAAAAGCTTTTTCAAAATGAAGGTGTTCATTTGGCACTTACGAATGGGCTATCATGAAATGCTTTACCTCGTACTCTGATGAGCATTCTGGTATTACAAGAAAATATACTGATTGACTCAGTACAAACTTTACATATTTTAATACTAGGTATTGATTTCAAAATTCTTAATATTTTACATCAATACTCTAATATTTTACTTAAATAGGTACTTGATAGATAAGAGTGGAAAATAATTACAGAATCGAATGGATCTGAGCAAGCACTGTACAAACTCTTGGAAGAAACTCAGAAATGTACCTCTACATTAGTACAACAGAAACACTAAGATTATTACAGTGAAGAAACAAAGATGGGACATAATAGCACAACAATGTATTCCTCGAGAAAATGAAAACCAAGGATTATTGCTTTGGTATTTTGTCATGTAATGAAGTTGTTTAAAGAAGAGAAAATAGGAATAATCAATGGGAAAAAAAGAAAATCCCTAGACATTAATAACAAGCAGGGTTTCACCCCCTCAGCATGGGAGGCTTGCCCGCCTTCTTCCAAGAGAAAAGAACAGCAAGGTTCCATGTCGTCAAGGCATTTATTCAGCACACATCCCATAGACTCACTCTTCAGTGGCTTTGATATAACTCGCATTGTTTAGAAAGTGTCAGACTATTTAATCTTAGAAAAAGAACCACTTGTTTAGTAATAAGAGCTGTGCAAGTAGCTCATTTCATCTTAATTAGCTGAAGATGATGCTTCTGAAGTGCTCTGCTTCTTATCAACGCCATGCTTTCTGTTGCAAGTAAGATGACTTTGACATTCCTAACAATTCAGCCTCAGGAACCAAAATCAGGACCTCGGATTCTGCATTAAAATTGTCAAGGGGCTGTGAAAGTGGGTGCCTCAGATGTGTTTGTTTTTTTCACTGGAATAAGCTACATTTTGCACTGTGAGCAGACTAGAAAGTGGCTTTTGGCATCTGCATTCAAAAATGAGTGTGTGCCCACACTGCTGTCAGGAGGCTGCCTGGCTTTACAGTGTGAACTAGGGAGAACTCTGCTACCTAGGAATCTGTGTGCTCCACTAGAAAGAAAGGATAAAAGAGCATAAAGTGAAAGGATAGATGAAGGATTGCATCATTACTTTAGGCATTCTCTTTTGAGCATTATTATTATTATTACAGTACTATTTGCTTGAGAACAATACTATTAGATTAGATGCAGAAAGTCCTACAGAGGCCTCTCTTTAGTATTTGCTTTTCCCAACCATTGAGATCAGAGTCCTCAGTGGCCTCAAGTGTTTGCACAACTGACAAATAAGAGTGGAAACATCCCCTGCTCCAATTAATCAGCTCCCATGTAATCTGCAGGTAGCCGTCCTGAGCCTCTACCAAGCCCTTCATTTACACATTGTTCTCACACAGCCTCTCACAGGAAGGCAGCTTTCTGAAAGTGCTGCAAACACTAGGTGTGAAAAATAAGGATGATATAAATAGCTTTTCACTTCTAATTGCAAGTTGCCACTCACATTTTGTTCTTGCCAGCTCTGAAATGGGACAGACCAAAACCACAGATAGCACAGGAACCCTAGGAAGGTGAGTCGGTGTCTGCTGCTGAGGGTGATCAGATATCCAGAGGGCACTTCTCAGGCCCTAGAAGGCCACGTGAGGCTGAAAGAATACATCAGGGCAGGGTAAAGTGCAGCCACATGCCAACGGAATGTTTCTAGGGTACCTGTGATGCTCCTTTCCAGCCTGAAAGCTTCCTTCTGGTCCTCTGCATCCAGCTCACCTTCCAGCTCATAAACCTACAACCAAACCGTGACATCAGACCACATGCTGGCAGCAAAGCTGGCACTGTATCTGTCATATGAAATGGGGGTGAAGGGAAAGTAGGTCAACTCTCTTTCCAACTGAGGCTAAACAGGGCCCTTTTGGGGAATACTTTTTCCAGAAGTAAACTGATTGAAATACACTCACAAAAAACTTGTAAGGACTAAAGGAAATGAAAGGCTAACACAATTAAGAGGGGCAGGCTTCCCTCCTTATATTACAGAACCGTACCGCACTCACATGAGTGTGCACGCAAGAAAATCTGTAAGGTAAAGACTGCTGCATATGTGTCAGCTCAGCTTTTGCACATTCAGCCAATGCACTCATTCTTTCTCTATGTTCAGCTCAGATTCTCTAAGGGAATTTAGACCCTGTGTCTCTCAAATATGTGTCACATCCCTGTACTCCCGCTTGCTGAGATAGCTATAGTGGAAATGCCTGTGGGCTTACAGAGTCATCGGAACAAGACTAACTACTACACACCACCCTGGAGTGCAAGGCATAGAACAGGAAACAAAACAGACACCTCTTCCCTGTACGAGCACGCATTCTCACAAAGGAAGCAGGGAAGCCAGGCAGCTACAGAATTATATTTGGCGTTGTCAAGGCTAAGGAGAGAA